AACAACTTTGCTGGACTTCTCCACTCACAAAGGTCTCTAGGACCTCTTCATGGTTTCCTCGACTTGTACATCATTTAGGATTGCCATACCAGGATTCGTGTACAGGAATAAAAACCTTGGAAACCTGAAAACAACAGCCCATCGATGTAAAGAATATGCTGCGCCTTAAAAGGATGACTTTCCAGGGCTAAGTAGCCATTGAATTTTGACACAACACTGTTAGTTACTTCAACTCGCTGCCACATTGCTCCACAGAACACTTCCTGCGGGACAAGCAACACTTCGACAAAAAGCAAAAATCATGCTCAGTGCATTCAAGTAAACAGGAGTCCACGGGGCATCATTTTTGCGGTTACTTATGCCCCAAAGAAAAAACACCCCACACATCAACGAAAGCCCTAAGGCTAATCGTGCCCTCGAATTCACGACCCACGAGATGGTGTGAATCAATCCGTTCAAGATTTGTGAACTAACCGGCCCGTCGATACTAGACATAGTTCATATTCTTGTGAGTCGCGGAGTGTGTGAAATAAAATAATTCCAAAGTTTCGTGAAAACGTCTGAATTGGGCTTCCTCGGGGAATCTTCTGCAACCTTGACCCCCAGCACTTTTAACCTCACTAGCCTTGCTCCACTCATCAAAGGTTTACTCGCTAGCAAGAAACTTATCGCCAGAAGTACCACGACAGCTATAAAGAGCCTGATATTATCCATGGGTGCGGGAGTTGTCAGTCTCAACCCAAGAGCCGTCAAAACGATGGTGATGATATGTCCTTGCCACCGCTTAAGATATTCGGATACTATCGCAAAGTTAAGTTTATCTCAGCGAGTAGAAAACCGGCCTTATAGTCCCTCGCTACAAGTCCGGCTGCAAAGTGAATTCCGATAACTGCAGGCCTATGAATATAACATCAGTCGCCCCTCGAATTGCGGGAAAAGTGATCCAAAGCAGCATTTCTGGTTGGCTACCCAGAAAAACCCCGTTGCGAAGCCTCAGCATGGCTCTGTTAAAAATAGGTCTTAGGCTACCTGTCATTTCGATGCCTTCAACCTTAATACTGGTGGATGCGAGGCACGTAAAGTCGTCAGTGTCCTACACTTCGACGCATCACAGGCAGTTTTCAAGGTACCGCGTAGTAATGTACTTTTTGACAGGCTACAATCGATTGGCACTCACAACTTGGTACTTCGTTGGCTAAGATCCTTTCCTAGTGGCCACAGCCAAATTGTGAAAGTAAAATCCAAGCAGGCCAAGCCCAGTTACATAACAATGAAGTAATGCAAAGGTAGTGTCCTTGAGCTTGGCATCAATAACTGGCATCAATATTGTGTGCGACGTCTCCACTGCAGAGGAAACGTCCCTTGACGCCGATGATCTGACGGTTGTTCGCCCCTGTCTCACCCATGAACTGAGCAATGCCCTGACTGCTACCAACCAAGAATTAGATAAGGTTGCTAAATGGTGCAGAGTCTCACCTCAGGTCCGGTGTTGCTGAATATGGTTGGGTTGGCATGCGCAGCGCAAACCTTTAACAGTCCCCCAATGTAACGAAAAATTGATCTGAAAATTCCTCCCAATCACCCTTATTTGATTATATTGACATTTATTTTAACATTTTTACCCTCGTTATGGATGGTGTACCTTTGACCCTAGCCGGTGTAATGTTATTTGCTTGTTTAACTGTTTCATTTGACTTTACGCTCGGTATTTGCCCTTGTATGTTTGGGACTTATTATGAATGTTTCACTTTCCTATTATGTGACGCTGGACTGTTGACAAGGTGATGTTGTTTTACTGTGCCCGACATTTTGTTTTGGTTCAACTTACGGTTGTGCTGTGATTTGACTGTTTGTCTTTTGACTGTCTACTGGGAAAGTTTGTTTGTTGAGTTGATTCTGTAGGCAGAGTTTTGATCCCTTTTAACGGGAATATTCCTATTGACCGACAGGTACTTAACAGTTGTATTTGCTTAACCAGTTTTTACCGTGTAGTACGTATTTGTACCCGAGAACGTTTTGGACTGTATAGTTACCCAACGGCACTGTTGAGGTATTTTTGTAATTTTGACATAATTTATTGTTGCTTTGATAGTACCACAGATTTTGTTACGAATCTACTATTGAATTAACACAAACCGTGTTTTGATATTTTGATCCAACCTTTGACTGTGCGTCACTCGTGGAAGTTAGGAGGCTATGCAGTAGAACGCAGGAACTAGTCAGATTCACGTCGGTTGGCACCGCTTAGTTATTTCCCGCGTCCAGGCCAAGACTATTGGATTCTGGCTGCTACACCCAATATATGTGAGAAAGCCACCCGGAAGTTCTTCAATGCTACCTCCTGGTTTCAAGTCACGTAAACTCCTTGGATGTGTCATACTAATTAGATTTTTGCATGGATGCGATAAGATGCTTTCCCAGCTGCATTACATGCACCTGATTAACGCCATATGAATATAAACGTTGCAGGAGACTCTCCGATGCCTGGATGTTTGATTTCTTGATGCGTGGCCAAAATGTGCGCATTCGTCCACGATGGAGTAGACGAACCCACAAGTACTTGAAGGCGGGACGTGAAAGAAGCACCTATGAAGTCAGGTCAGTTGAAGCTGTAGTCTAAATTGGGGCCGTCTGCCCCAGACCGTGTTGCATAGCAAATGACTTCATAACTTTGAATGCATCCTGGCCAACAAAGGACTGAATAGTTTGAAAGAATTTGGGGGCCGAGTTAGTACGTTCCGTCGTATAGGGTGTATTTTACCCGTTTATTTTGTAATTCTTTCTGCTTTACTGTACTGGGGTCACACGAGCGAAACTACGCCTCACGCGATAACTGACCTCATACTTACCTACATAAGTGACTGGAATAATGGCAACTGGTGATCCCTTCCGGGTATTCCACACACTTTGAACATTAACAGAGTGAAACTCCTGGCTTTAGTTCCAAGCAACTGCCTCGATGATGGTCTGCGCTTGTTTGTCCTAGAGGGTGATATGGATCTGGATGTCATCAGCTCGACGTGTTTTGGTCCACAGTGAAACCTTCTGTCTTTGACTCCAGCGCGCGCCAACATTAGACAATACTGACCACGCACTATCATTCTCGAAGTTTCGCAAGTGCGGCTTCGATTAATATTTGGTCCAGTAGAGACGGAATGTGATACGCGCAGATACGGAGCTTGCTAGGGACTATGTAAGTGCACTGGAGCAAACCGTGGGTGAGAAAATATTTATGGGGTAAGGTTTTGAGAAATTTAGTGCCGTAGTTAACGATCTGGTTTAGGTGTAAGCACCATTTTCAAACCCCCCCATGGGCATTTTCACAACACCACACAAGTTGATGAGAGTATCCTGAGGATAATAGGGGACAGGGGACAGCTACGGAACTCAGTTTCAGTAACAAATCGTGGGACCTTTAACAGTGCCCATTGTTAAATTGGGACAGTGTACAAGTCGAGAATAACGAGGCCCGGAATGGCACCCGAAAAACAACTTGTCACTGATTGCCAAGACTCTTCAAAGCAGTTTTTCGCATCTGATTAAAAAAGGAAATAAACGTCAGGATGAAAAACCATTTTTCTGCCGATTGGATTTTGAGGGGTTGGTGGGTGCGGCCTAGTCACAGCAGACTGCCCAACTGAATACTTCACTGCGGTCCTTTTAGCGAGTGAAGACGTTCACACTTCGGCCAGCCTCACCAGAAATACCCCACTATCATCTGGTTAGCTTGGCAAGCAAGGTTGTCGAAGTATTTGGGAGGACTGGTTGGAATACTGTGTTCAGCCATGTTAAACCATAGTCCCCTCACGTCCTCAAAACATGGTTTTTGTGCTAGTGGCCCTGCCTAGGTCACCTTCCCATTCCAAGAAAGGAGTGAGCGGCAGCTCGTGACAACTAGCTATTCATTGTTGCTCTGCTACTTGCTTCCAGTAGGGATTTCAACAAGGTCTCGCAAAATCAACTAATGGAGAAGCTTTCCCATGTTTTTGTCGTTGTGCTTCGGGTCTGGATTGAAATATTTCGATGCTGTGGGAGAGAAAGCGTGAGAGCTGGCGAAAAACTGTGTAAATGGTAATCCATTTGGGGTGGGGTTTTTCAGACTAATATTTTTGATTCTCTCCCCACCTGCTTTTAGTCAGCGGATTGCTGGACATAATTTAATCCTCAGCCTTGTTGCTTATGGTGGGAGAATTTGGAAGGTGGTACATAACGGGAAGCCTGACATGCATTACAAGAATTAAATGAGTGAGTATGTTGGCCCAAGCGTTGGTGCTTAGGAATCAGTCACTGAAAGTGTGGGGCTATGCACGTTTTCCGCAACGTGTAGCACCGGTTTACACTGGGCAGGACGTTGGCACCTGAAGTACGAGGTCTTAAAGACTCGGAAGCGATCACCAATTGTAACTTGTGGGTGTTTTCGCGATGTTGTGAAACTGTGGAGATGAGGTTCCAGGTGTCTTGGTTCATACCTCAGACTTCTAAATATTTGAAGACATATTTAGAACATTATATTCCACGTTTTGCAACCCTACCCAGAATACTGCATTTGGGTAGCCAATCTACAGGTCATCGAGAACGCTAGGTCACTGGAGTTCCTCCAAAAGATCAGTGCAGAGTTCGTGGCTGGTGTGCCCTTTCTTACCCATGAAGACCGTTTCGACAGACCAAACTTGTTCTCATCGTTATATCGAAAGAGATGAAGTGACGTCCGTCAGTAGAAGCCCGGATACTGAAGAGCAACTAGACTCTCTTTAAGAAGAAATAAAGATCTGCGGCGAACTCAGGCTTCAAACTGGGCGGGAAGGCCTGCCGTGACAGACTGGAGCATCTAAACCCATTCACTCTGGGCTGTCTCAGAAAAAGGGGTGAGCTTTTTATAGCCCAAAAGACCATCCATCAGGAAAATCACATGAACAAACTAACCTTGACTGCAGTATGATAGTCACCATAGTCAGACTAAGTCAAAAAGTTGGGCCACTGTTTTGGTCCGGTTGGCTTACCAGAGGCATACTAGGAGCATTCGTGACACTCGCGGCCTCATCAGCTAAGTATTACTCTCCACTTGTTTATTGCTTATCGTCGTTCTGCTATGATACGACTGAACAGTCTTTCAACTCTTCCCTAACTGGAATCATGTCATCTACTTGCACCCTTCGAGAATCTTCTACATACCTTTCCCCACTCTCCTGCTATCCTCATTCAGGCACCGATAAAGACGGGAGTTGTAAAAGGCCTTCGGTGTCACCACCAACCCATGGCTTTCTCATCAACTCAACCAACAAATTCCAAATGCCAACCAAAAAACACTTGTCTGCGTTGAAAGAATGTGCGAGCACCCTCACTGTCCCACTCAGCAGTCTCTTCCAACACTCCTTAGACGAACGAAAACCTCAACGACAGTGGAAGCGTGCCATCCTCCCTATTATCTTCAAAGGAGAGGACAGGCAGGATCCAAATTGTTACAGACCCGTAGCACTTCTACCAGTAATTTGTGATGGACGACCGGATCAGGGAACATCTACACACAAGGTTAGCACTCAGTGATGTTCAACATGGCTTCCAAAAAGGTAGGTCCTGTGCGTCTAACCCCCTGGTGGCCCATGATCACTGGACAGCATGCTAGGATCCCAAGGTCTTGGTCCACGCCATCTTTTTAGATTTCACTAAAGCCTTTGACACTGTCTCGCACACCACGCCAATGCACAAAATAGCCGGGTTAGGTATCCGAGGCCAGGTGCTATCGTGGCTGTAGAACTGCTTAGACAAGAGGGAGTTTCGCGTGAAAGCCAACAGCGTCTAATCAACTTGGAGAGCGCCATCGTCCGTTGTCTCACGAGGAGCAACCTTGAGTCCATTTTTGTTCCTATTGCTCTTGAGTGGTTGCCGGCTGCATTTCGGCTGTCCGATTCTCCTCTACGCTGGCAACGTCAAGTGATGGAGGGCAGTAACTTATGAAAAGGAGCTGAGCGCTCTGCAGAACGACCTCAGAACACTAGAGGAATAGGCAACAAATAAGGAAATGGCGTTCAACCTGGGTAGATGCAAGCCCATATTTTTCCGTACTCCTGAACCAAAGGAAGTATCCTACTCTCTCTGTAGTTCACATCTATCCCATACCGCAGCAGAAGAAGACCTGGGTTTAATGGTGACGGAGAAACTGGACACCACTTCCAATTACCCGGGTGGTGTACTACACTTTGTGCGCGGACAACTAGGTGCCCTTGTTGAGATTGCCTTCCGTGAACATGTACGTAATTTACAAATAAATTTATTCACACCTGTAAAAATGGTGTGCCTGTATATTCAGAAATGAATATCATTATTATCCCAGAGCTCTTCCTGAAGCTGTGTAAGACTTACACACGACCCCGCTTGGATGCCCACAACGTCTTCTCTCCACCAAAACTGAAAGGAGGGACGAACCTTCCGGAGAAAGTTCAGAGGCGAGTCCTGAAAGAGGTTGTTGGGGTGCAATAAAAACTATATGAGGATGGACTGAAAGACCCAGGATTATACTCTCTTAGATACCGAAGGTTAGGTGGTGACTCGACACTAGCCCACAAAATACTGGGTCACTAGAAAAGGGGGAAGCTACTGAGTAGCCACTGTGGTGATCGCCGTGGAAACCCGGAGAGCATCGATAAGTAGGGGTCAAAGACCCACTCACGTCCACACCTCTTCGCCCTTCAAGTCTGTGGGAACTGGAATGTATTACAAGAAGGGGTGGTGGTTTCCTAACTGTCGGTAGTTTTGAGGAAAGACTAGACGGTTACTCAGTGACCCACATTCTACGCTTATCATTTTGGGATACGAACTAGACCGAAGAAGTCAGCTGCTGTCAAGCTATTCCAACAGTGGTGCTTCCGCCTTAGTTCACTTCCCACTATAGCCACTTAAGTCCTTTCCATCCCTCTCACTGTCTATGATTTAACCTCGCTCACCTAAGTTCCGAGTACCTTTGCACTCATCTCATCTTACTTGGGTGTAAGTAGATTACCCCATCGTTCCACTTTCCTTTTCCTTTTATTGCCACACACTTGTCCTCCTAGGTTACCTCTTCGCTAACCCTAACTCTCTTTAACGACCAGTCCGAACAACTGTCTGGCAACTCGACATCTGAAGAAACCAAGTGCACAACAGTTCCAGGTAAACTAACCAACACTTGACCTCCTGTTCTGTATACCAGAGCTATAGCAGATGAGTGACTGGATCTACTGCGTCGAAATCTGTCAACCACCTGGAACCGTTCTGCAAGACCAAGAAGCGAGTAAGAAGAAATAAACTGGTTTACCCAAGTTCATTAAACAGATATTGGATATTGGATCTCACGACAGCTAAAGGCAGAAAAGCAGACGGTATTTTCTTGCCCACTCCAGGAGCGGATAAAGCAACAAGAAGCAGGACCAGAGAACTAGACATGAGAGTTCAAGGACGACCACTTTCATTTTTCCGCACTACTGATGTTAGGTGTTGGAATGGAGACAGCTCATGTGTTTTCATGCCTCATGGAGCGCAAAATGATCGGTGCGTTACATTGATATTGAACCTCTTGAAATACGGAGTGAGTATCGGTGCCGGATCGGGTTTATTTGACAGTGTTACTTTTACTATGTAAAATGAATGGGATTTTTCGCTTCGGAGAAAGGTTTTGGGGAGGAGTCTTTTAAGGAAACGGAAATCTTGGTTAGTTAAGTGAGATATATCTTATAAGATATATAAGCATATGCTTAAGTATATCTCAATAACAACTAATTAGTTGTTTGAACTGAAGCATGTTACTTCTGAGGAGTGATGTTAGTGCTTTGGTGACATGGAGTGACTCCTAGTTGTAAACCGATGGTGTTTTTGCATTACTGGGAATTATTACAAAGAAAAATACTTACATATCCTTGTGTATACACATACGGACCGAAAATAGGAAAATAGGTAGGATAAAGGGAGACTCAGTGGTTAGACATGTATAAGTGGCAAAGGATATATATCCTTTGTCACGTAATTTTTTCAGGAAAGTCACTACGGGGTAGTTGAATGCTATACTTTTGTGCATTTAGTCATGTAAAAGCTTATTGTGCTAAGATAATAAATAGATTTCCTGAGCTGTAACAGTCGTAGGTAAACTGATGACTGCAGAAGTTTTAAAAAAAACTTTTGTTTTGATGAACTGAAGAAAATGGAAAAGGACATCTCAGTAAAACATTATCAAATGAATTGTTTAATGTATTTAAAAAGTATTCCAATTAAAAATGCTGTCATAGTATTGTGAAGCCCAAGTGCTTTCTATCACCGTACCCCCTCATTTATGGAAAACTCGTGTTTCTGAAGTAATTGGATGATAACTGAAATTAATTATTGTGCCTTATTCTGCTTTCTATGCATAAAATCAGTTATTTTATTTCCACGACTCAGTTGTATAAACAACTGTCTCATGACTGCGAATTTACAAGGACTGAGCATTAGATTTTGAATTATATTATTCGAGGTTGGATGGGGGTAAGGCAGATTGTGACCAAGCATGTATGTGAATTTTGCACACGAGATGTGGGAAATTTGTACAAGATTCATCATGTAATGACTGGTATTATAGATGAACTAAGAAATCAAGTGGTTTAGAAAATTACTTCTAGACAAAAATATAACAGTGGCGTCATGTTGTGCTTATTTTTTGAATAAAGTAAGTGCTGTCAATGCTGCCAAACAAAGGAACTAGTGGAGAAACATAGGGGATGCCTTTATATGACAAAGACAAATTGTGCCGTGTATGGCAATTTGTATTTTGTCAAAGCAAATGAAACAAGCTTATAATCTATATTGCAACCTATTGCATACTTGAAGAAGGAGTACCAGGGCAAAGTGTAAGTCCACAACTATCCCCGCTTTCCAAGTAACAAGTTTCAGCACAACTCAAGCTGACGCAGGGAAATTTCCTCGGTGTGAGCAAGTATCTGAGATTAGGTTGGATGAAGATTAGTTGTACTTAGCTTCCATACGAAACATGCATTTGCTCATGCCCACAGAGCTGCCTAGTGTTGTCTATATATCTTTCTGTGTGCTGAGCGTCCTGATGCCGAAGAACTTGGGTCTAGTACTTAGGTGAGTAAGCTAAATCCAACATTTAAATAAGTCATGTAACTGGTTAAGTTATGAATCGAAACCTTGGTTTCTGCTAACAGTAACAAAGTAGTATCAAGTTGTATGAAATCCAGGGGTTACCAAGTCTGGTTATATTACCACTCTTTGAAGTTTCTGATTTGGCGTATAGTATGTAGAAAAGTGTGAACTCTGGCGAGAATTCTCAAAATCCTAGAAATTAGTGGTTGAAGAATCGTGGTAAAATGGTTCAAAATTGAACACAATTGACGAAGTTTACACACTCCATCAAATTGTTATATATTCAGCTAACGGTCGTTTATTTATTCCATCTCTTTCCATGCAATTTTATTCACTTTACTATCATTCTTTTTTATTCTCTTATTCTTTGCATGCTAACATAGCGTGGTAGTTTAAAATGATGCACTTCTATGCAGGGATCTACATTGCTTTACTTATGTCAGTATAAGTGGATTCATATCCAATCGATGCCACTGTGAAACAATGATATCGAAAGTTCAGTTATTTGTGGTCTTGGTAATCCGCCAACTGGTGTTCACCTCGATAAAGTAAGGTTTTGAGAAGCTGATTGAGAATTTATTTGGCTGTGCTATTGAACACAAGTTAAAATAAAGTGTTTTTACGTGGAGAAAAATTCTGTGTTTATACCTTTGGATTCAACCCTGATTTATAGATATTCCAATTACGAAAATAGCATCATCTCCACTTGAGTTGCAGACATGCTTTTTTGATGTGTATCAAAGCTTCGGGTATCGTACTAATTGTTTCCGAATTCTAATTGTCATGGAGCGAACTTCATTGTGGAGCTACTTATCTGGGTAATACGCTAATGCCTACCCTTTCCCATCACGTACCACTGACATTAAGTGAAGTAAACGACAACTACTGCATTTATGGCTACTGGGGTGTCCTATGACAAAACGCATAATATTTATAACACTCACCAAGGCATTGACGGGAAAAGTTATTAGTATGGCATATGACAGTGATTATTAGTTGGTCGATTTAAGTACTAATCATCCAGTTTGAAAGATACTTATCTTACGTAAATGATTTTTCTAGCGATAAAAATGTCAGTGAGTAAGCAGCAGATTTTCTGGACCTGGCATTACTGCATAATGGTCCAAATTGACACACCTCATATTAGCAGATCAAGGCCGAAGGCACCAAAATGATAGTGAAATAAGAAGGAAAGTAGTCAGAAGTGATGGAAATTGGTGAAGAAAAGAGGTGATAAGACAAGCAGCGAAATTTAGCATGACGATTATGAGGAAGATAGTGCGTGGATGAAATCGATTCTGAGCAACGTCACGTAGTCCTCAACCACCGATTTTTGTTGTCACGTGGACCCCAACCGTGAAGTCTATTTTCCCTTACACGGCTCAGACCAACAGTCCGAGGCTTCACAGACTAATGCCATATTTTATCATGTTGCCTTTAAACTTTTCCCAGCCTGTCTACTTCAACTAACAGTGCAACATAGCGGACGGTGAGTAGGTATGCGTAACACATCCAAACCATCTCAGTTAATGATGGTTCAAAATCTTATCAGTTGACCTAGCTCTTTTAACTAAAACTTCGCAAATAACTTCTGCATTACTGATATAGTGTTTCTACAACAGTCTATGTTATGAAAGCGACGGTGGTCAAGCATCCAAACCTCATGTCCTCCACTTTTAGTGCCCATGCTTCACAGCATGTAGTGGAACAGAGTGAACTGTTACGCTGTATCTATGATCGGCAATGACATGTCATCCCGGCAATATGGACGACTTAGACCGTCACAAAGTAATGTCATGATTTTAACTGATTGGCACCGCAGACTGACAAAAACGAAGCGAACCTTTTTTATCCGTAAACAGAGTTCGTCTGTCACCAAATCACCAGGGATAATATGAAGTGGTCAACTCAATAGACTTCACTTCTTACTGTTAGACAAGAAGCCACTGAAGACCAGTTCTGAAGCAACAATGTATATAAAGGTGATGAGAAACACATCTGCAAAATTATTAGGTTGCCACTTAAGGTGTCCAGTAGGTTCTGCATCTTGTCAGCATCAATTAAAAAGACTCATCTGCATATTATGGGTCTACTTGGGAGTCTCCCATGACGAAGTCAGTCCCAGCAGTTAGACGATGAGAAGGAGACCTCCATAAGTACATCTATGATAATGCTGAATCAGAATTGAGAAAGTAGACATCCTTGAAAGACATCATACCACATAGACAACTCACCTGGTAACTCACTATAGACTCGAGGATGCGCATAGATATTCAAATACAGAGCCTTCAACGAGGTGTTTTAATTTCCCGGCATCTTTTTCGCCGAGAAACAATGCCATAAGAGCTCTGTTAATGGAGTGGAGTGCCACCTCAAGCTTGAGAAATACAGCTAATGTCGAGTGTCAGTAAGCGTGGTTGTGTTCCGGAATCTGGTGGAGGTTGAATACCTGGTCAATACACAGCACAATACCTTAAACTTACCTTGTTTTCTCGGGTTTGGTGTTCGTGGGCTTCACTTAGTCGTCTGATGATTATAGAACCTATAATAAAATACAAATTATCCATCAGATAGATTTTGTGCCTACCACAAGAAGATTCTTCTCCTCTCTTGAAGCCTGGAACGATCGGCGATTGCGATCAGTCAAACGGATCATATCTGTTTCACACCTACTAGCTAGCATGCAGTTAGTCGAACCATTTTTCCTCAACCGGTGTCCTTAAATACTTCTGGTACTAGCCATTCTAGACCTGCTATCCTTCCTTTTTTCAGGTTACCTGAAGCCTTATTATCAGTTGAAAACGTACAGTAGTTTATTTTGTATGGATCACAGTGGCTCACATCTATACATGCACTTCTTACTTTTCAAGTTCAAACCTGTTACTAGTCTTCATTTAGTGATTTATTCTCTCTGATGTTTCTTGTCTATTTTAGTATCATTCCATTTCTGGTGATTGCTTCTCGTGACGTTTGTTATAATGTCTAGCAACTTAATCGGATCCACTTTACTTGAGGTCCTACTTTGTTGTGTCTCAGTTAGTGGTGTATATTACCAAGTACTGCACTAGTGTGAAACAGCTAACTATTACTTTCCAGCTTTTACTAAATTTCCAGTTAACTCACTCAAAAGTATTTTCAAAAGTCATATTAACATTCTTCAAATTCTTTGGTACTTATTTGTCAATCTCTTTTTATCATACGATTTTAGGTTGGGCACCGTTAGTTGTGTAATCAGTTTCCCGCTAGTGATTTATTGTTAAACCAAGTCCATATGAACAATTTGATTTCCCTGATCATAATATTCCAGCTTGCTTTTGCTATTTGGCCAGTACGAATATTATCAGAGAACAATAATAATTGCGGCAAAAGTTTTCAATTCAAGCCAAACAGAATTATTCTGACGCAGAAATCCATTTCAGCTGGTGCTAAGTTCCTTAAAAAGTTGAGAGTTTCATCATTTAAAGAGTGCTATTTTATGTGCTGTAATACAAATGAATGTAGTACAGCAATTTTTGACTCAAAAGTGAGTTTTTATACTTCATTGAAGAAAATTTCTTACAACAGGTTAAACAGGCTTGCTTTATGTTTGACTGCCGACCTCCTGGACAGTGCTTCTACTCTAGTCATTCCAACTATGATATCATTTATCTTGAAGAGATGAGTGTTAATCAGAGTTTAAGGAATATGGGTAATAGTGTCACTATTTTCTAAAGTTCCTTGATTAGTGGGTTTGAATAAGCATTGTGATTCAAATAATTTGTGTGATGGTGCTAAGACTATATGCTCAGATGGCGTGTGCATTTGTCAATCAGGTTGGATTGCAAAGAAAGGCAGCTGTGGTAAGCATAGTTTAAGTTTCTATTCAATGTTGAAAAAAAAATTTTCAGTTCAGTCAGTTTGTAAATCTCCAGAACTTCAATTCCAATGTGATGATTCTTCCGCTTGTGTGGCCATTTATGACAAATGTAATGGAATAGTTGAATGTCCGGATGGGTCAGATGAATTGTCGTGCCCTTCAAGTATGTCTTTGTTTTCACTAATGATGTCTTAGTTTTTATTCATTGGTGGTCACAAATATCAAAACAATTTGCATTATGAATTAATTTGAAACTGTTCACATTGTTACATGGATTTGTGGTTGTACTATCTAAGACAGTCCTTGTCAGATCAGTGTGTTATAAAAGGGTGACAAAAATGGGATCTATGTTCGAACGTAGACGAAGAGCCTCTGGCTTCAAACAGGTTGACTCATTTTCACATTTTGGCTCGGACAGATAAGGATAGACAGCATAGAACTTGGAAAAATTAAATGTCGTCCTAAGTTGGTTGGCTTACTGACAGCAAAGAAAACGGAACTAAACAAAAAGGATAGTTTTGCATTCGTTAATTTTCTGTCTGACAGTTGCCATACTTAAGTGTTAGTCAAGCTTGCCTGTCTTACTGATTCAACAGGTTATGTTGGCTAGAGCGATTTCCCCTTAAAGTCCTATCATACCAAGAAGATATGTCGGGTAGTGGTAAGACTAAAGGTGATTACCAACACGGTATAAATAGTTTGTGCTATGGCGAGGGTCCGAGTAATAGGTCGTTCTGCTGATTATACGGGGTATGATAACAGCAAGTTATTTCCCGAAGATGTGCAGTATTGTATGCTGTTTTCTTCCCTAATCGGAAGAAGAGTTAGATAAGTTTAGTCATGAAAATAGAAACGCAATAAGTTCCTGTCATGGTGCCCTTACATTGCATCAACGACCCATGTTATTTATTAATTCATTATAAATTTGTATTTACTGTTTTCACGTCTTTTTCTATATTATAGCCAGAAGATCGTTTTTTCCACGGTCTTCAAGTTTAGAAAAGGTCAAAATCCCTTCTGTTACATACTCATGTGTTCTGAATTGGTTTCTTTTGTTCACTAAGACTGTAAAGGCTTTCGATTCCGACCAGTTTTCTATTTGGGTTCGTCTAGGGTTTTTGAAGTTGTTAGTTTCTAAAGATTGAGTTCAGAGCTAGGACAGCAATTAATGTTCAACTAGAAAGCAGATTATAACAGTAGCCATAGATAGGGCTTCACAATGGATGCAACGACAGATAAAAATGATGAAAATGCTGGTTGGTTCACGTGTTATGCCATCTTCTTTCGATCCATCTCTTATTCTTCAGTCAGTCAACATCAGCATATTATCTGGCATTGCTGCACAACTGTGCAAGTTGCCACACCCTCCTTGATGCTTTTTGTAACTGTCAGAAATTTTGTTTACAATCCAAAGACAAATGCAACTTTCTGTATGATACCAAGTTCAATTTAGCTTTGATTTCGGTAATCAAGATGACGTCTCCAAGCTCAGACCTTTCCTACGGAAACGACCTAAATGAGCTAGACAAATACTGCGACTTAGTCCTCCTACAGAATCCATGTAAAACGACGTTTGAAGAAGCCTCACATTAGCAATTTAGAGACCATCGCTCATTTTTAACTGCTAATTATCGTTTCATGAAATTAGTTTTAGATGAGAGTATGACAACATCCAAACATAGGTTGGCATTTTGAACACAATGTAAAAAGTTTAAGCTGGTACTCATCAGAGGTGACCACTTCAGAGTTCTCACTTTTGTGTACCATGTAGTATTCTAATCTTGCTGACATACGTACGCAATTACTGAATTCCTTTAAGCAAAGTCCAAGTCTTACTTTGTAATACATTTATAAAAAATATAAGCGCCTAGCCAGCTTAGAACGAGGTATCACCTTGATGTAGTCCAGTGGTAAGAATGGTGGGGATATGTGTGCAGTAAAGCAGTATGTCCCATCGACCTTTTTCATTTCCTCTTCTATCATGTTCCTTTGCCAAAAGATCCTCAACAAGAGCCACTGATACCATATTGGCACTATGGGTCATGGCACACTACATCCATGTTCACTTTACATACTTGCAAATTGAAACATCCGGAGAATTGTGGTGCAAGCTTGATCGTCTCCCTACTCAAAGAAACGATGCAGGCTGCTAAAAGTTCCTCTGGTAAAAGCCTTGGGTTCAAACGGCAGCTGAACTGTTTCGTTGCATTCCACCAGACCACATTTGATATGATGTATCACCTTAGCAATGGGAAACTGAACCTACTTGGTTCTAGCTGGTTCAAGAGCTTACAACCCCTCATTTATTGATATATCATTCAATTCTTATTGATTTCCCCTTTCATGTAATGTTGTAAAGTGTGAAAATTTGAACTGGTCTATATTTGTGCATTATGTTATGCCGGTTCACTTGTTTATATCAAAAGCGACTAATATGTACTCTAAATTATGATATTCAGCACTGGATAACCAACGTATATTTGTGTACCTGCTGAACTGTTCGATATTCGTTAAAGTACTAAATTTTTTCTTAACCGAAGTTGGTCACTGGTCTTCCTTAAATGACCCCAAACTCAATCCCTCCAAATGTCAGATGATTAGTTTTAGCTTAAGATGTGAACAAGACTAGTAAATTGCTTCAGTCCCATGACTCTTGGCTTAGAGAATATATCAAGCGTGATCCGTTTTGGCTTGTGTTTTTCTTCTGACTTTTTTGGTCTCCTCATATCCTACTGATTTCCAGGAAAATTCTTCGCTTGTCCTTTTATATAAGGAAACTCAAACTGTCTAGCATAAATCAACCTCTACTCTTATGTCTCGTGAATTTCCGTTTTCCCTATACTTATTGTTCCATTTTATTCCTTTCGTGAACTCGAGATTACGTAGGATTTTGAAAGATGTTAGTTAAAGTTACTCTCTATAAAAGATACGTTGATGATATAATCGTGATATGTGATAAGCATGAAGATGCGACATGTTTGTTAAAAAGACCTAACAACGTACAAAACAACATAAGCCTAACATGTGAAGAAGAGAACGAAAACCGTTTACCATTCTTGGATATACTCCTAAGTCGTAGAAATGATGGTTCAATAAAACGGTTGATCTACAGGAAACCTACTTGGACAGGTCAGTATTTAAGTTTCCATAGCTTTTGTCCAACCCAATACAAGCGAGGTTTGGTAACTTGTCTATTTAAAAGGATCCAGCGTATTTTTACGGAGGACCCAATGGATGATAATATCAAAATAATAACGGAAACATTAGTGGAAAATGGATATCCATTGAAGTTCATAAACCGCTGCAAAAATCAGCAAGGATTCAAACCTAATCTACACTCTGTTTCGAAGAAATGCGTTTACATCGCGTTACCATACAGCATAATATTAAAACGAAGGTTAAGGTCTGCTGTTAGCGAAACGTACTATACAGCTAAGCTCATCGTAGTTGAGAAGACCAAACACCTGCTGCAACCTAGACCTCAACGATGTGTAAAGGATTGCATCACATCCCACTGCGTTTATAAATTTACATGTGTGTGTGGACAAACATACATAGGGAGGACTAATCGTGATATGCACTTGAGGGAAGGGGAACATGTTCCAAAATGGCTACGAAAGCAGCTGGATTCACAAACATTGGTAAGCGCAGATGGCAGACAACCATCATCGTCCATTGCAAAACATATCATTGATAAGAGACAGGATTGATATCGAAACAGCTTTTACAATTTTGTATAGAAACTGTCAGGGGCGTATACTTAAGTTTGTTGAGGCGCTAGCAATAAATAAGTTTAATCCCCCCCCCACCATTGTGTGTGCAAAAATAGTTTGTCCTTACATTAAGCCTACCTTGGTAATGCTTATTTTTATCGTATTACCAAGATTGTCTTCAAGTCTTATCTTTTATTCCTCTCATTATCTTTCTTATTATTGAATTCCTTTATGGAATAGTTTTCCTTCCCCCACTTCCAGTTTTCATATATAATGCCTTGACAAGTAAATGTGTGATCAGATTGTTCGAAATGTATAGCGCTAATACATCACATTTTTCAGATAATCTACGTCTTCTAATTACATTATCCAAATTCATAAAAGGGATTAATTGTTTCAAAATATTAACTAAGTATTCCCTTGGCCAGGGAATCATTATTATTATTTGTATTGTTATCTCCATCGTTATTTTAAACGTCACATCAACCGACTGATCTACATGATTGGTTTTATATATATATATATATATATATATATATATATATATATATATATATAAAGCTATTAGTATTAGAGTAAAGCCTGAAAAGGATCTAATTGGGAACAATATTGTTCGCTTATTTGTCTTCTTCTTGTCTTGATTTAGCTGTTTTCGTGATGTGTTATTCTAAGCGACCCTTGTCGACTGTTGTAACCTCTGTATTTGACCTCATAGTCAACGGAAGAGATTTGTCAAACCAGGTTACTTTGCTTACTTGCATTGATAGGATCTTTTAACATACACAGTGTGTTTCTAAGAGAGTTTTTTTTTGGTTTAAAGCCACTTTAATCCCAGCCTTATTGAGAATTCTTCGTAATGCTTCTGAGGTGGTTTCTTTGTGTGATAACACAGTGTAAAGTTTGAATTCTGTCTCAACGCTGACACCATGATTACTGTTGTTAGTAGAAGCATTATTTATAACACCTGTATTTTTTTTTCTTTCGATTTCTTATGAATTGATTGTTAAATTTTGGTGGGTAATTATTGAGACGCAAGGTGTTCTTTTTGTGTCTAATTTTTTTGTCATAGATTTTCCGGTCTACTAGTAAGCTTTTCCACCCTACCACTAAGGCATTTAACCAAGCCTACTTTAACTGAAATGGGGTGGGAGGGTTTGAAGGCTTAGTAACTGTCTGAATGAGAAGGTTTCCGATAGACATTAGTTTCTAAAATTGCATCTTGTTTTCGTTTGGTCTTGCAATCCTACATTGTGTTCGAAATGTTATCCAGTAAAGGATACTGTTTCTTCACTGTGTGACATTTCTAATAAAGAGACTAAAATGGAATTACAATCGACCACAGTGCCCAAGTTTTACTCCTATATCAATTTCAAATTATTTTAAATTGTTATTGTTTGTATTACACCGTTGTTGATTGGACCGAACTGATCAGTCTCTGTTGGTATATGAGCTCCTGTGCGGATGCCTCGATATATCCTGTGTTTTAATTATACAATACAAGCAGTAACACTAAGACTATACCCGTCGCACAAGAAATAGCTATTGTGGCTCGGTGGTGTAGTGGATAACTCTCTCGCGTTTGAAGCGATCGCTACCGAGTCCGAATCCTGGTAAGAACGACATCACAGTGGTAGGCAGGTACATCCAGCTGACGAGTCCGAAATGGGATGAAGTGCACATCCTGGATTCCACTACTAGTCACTACCCATCAATCCTTTTATTTTTTAGCATAAATTGTTAAGCAGCACCATTGTAAATATATATTTCAAAAAAGATTGTGCAACGAGAAAACTTATGCAATATCACATAGTGAGAATTCTGTGCTGTAAACATAATAATGGTTCAGAGTAAAGCAAATATATCATTATTATTGTTAATAAAATGAGAATGACATTATTATAGGTCATTTTAAGCGTCCACCTACTACCTTAAGTCATCGACATCAACATGAAACTATAGTTAATTGGTTTAAACATTTGGATTTTAGTTAGGGTAGATCACATTTTCTAACCTCACTTTGCTTACTGACCCATTGTTTTGGAGCAGCTATATAGAGTATCACAGCTATCACGGAATAGATATAGATCATTACCAAAGAGATAAAAATGTATGCGGTGTAAGAGTGGTATTAGAACATCAGATTTGTTTGGATAATTCGATTGGTGACTCATTTCTAAGGTAACAGGTTGTTATGGATTATAAAATAGTGGAGAATATTTGTAGCTCAGGTGGATGATCTTGGTTGTAATCTGTTCTCTGGACTGTTATGGATTATATTTTTTCCTACAAGTAAGTGTCTTATATTTAAAACATAAAGTGAGTTGAACAGTATTGATATGTGGGATTAAATATTTGATTTCTGTTGTATTTAAGTTAATATGCGAAGAAAAACAAAAGAAAATAAGGTTAAACTAGCCTGAAGTAATCGGTGATCGGTAATATAGAAAAGAAATTTAATTGATCGTTTGTCAAATCGTATGATCAATTATAAATAGCAAGAATGTTTTATGTTCTCTAAGGTGTACAGTTGATTCATAATGCAGGTGCCATTGTCGTCTTTCTAGATAATATCTATAAGCGCAAATTCTAGCAGCTTAGAAATTGCAGTGTCCATTCATCCATCCATCCAGATCAACCTAAGACCAGGCATTACTACGTAACGGTCCGAGTTACCACACCTCATATCAGTACATCAAGTAAAAAGGCAGTGAGTCGCAAGATGAAGATAAGAGAATGCAGTCAAAACAAATATAAAGTACTAAAAGAGAGAAAGGAAGAATGAGAAAATACTGAGATTCGGTATAGCATCGTTAAGATGAGGATAATGTGTGTGGGGATACATCTGCACCACTAATATCGGTTCTCAGCCATATCACTTAAAGTCTCCAACCACTGGTTCCTCTTGTCCCGCGGACCCCAACCACCTAGTCTATATCGTCCCACATGGCTCAAACCAACAGTCAGAGACTTCATACCATATTGATGCCATGTTTTAGTCTGGCCACCTCGGTCCTTTTTCCAGTCTGGACCTACTTCAGCCAACATTGTGTGACAAGGCAGTGTCCATACAAAGTTCATACAAATAAACTGCAAATATTCTTTATTTGTTCATAGTAGAAATATTAATTTCATTTTAAACAATAAAAGCTATTGTTTTCTTTTCTTCCCTTTTTATTTACTATTGAAAAAATAATAGAGATCAATAGAAGAAATGAGACAAAATCGTCGTCATCATTATCACATGATCATAAACAAAGTGAATTAGACGACATTTCACTTTCCAAGCTTCAGTCAACTGAAAATCATCAACCACTTGAACGATTTTATTCGAATCAACAGTCTTTAAGTGGTAGTAGTAGTAGTAGCAGTAGTACAACACAAGGTACAACATCTTCAGCATTTATTGATTTACATGATTTACCTACTGAACCAATGATATTTTCTAGTCAACAAAAATCACATAATGATCGGGAACCAATACTTGGATCACATTCAATAAAGCTTGATCATCAAAAACAATTATTCGATATAGATGATAGAGAAACACCATCATTTCTATTCGATATACATGGTAAAAATAATGAAAATAATAATAATAATGATAATCCAGAAGTACTTTTTTCTTCAAATGATAATCCATGGCGGTATCCTAAAGACTTTCTTCATGAGACATCACGTAGTGATGGTCCAACACATTTGTTATCTAGACAACAAATATATCCACCTGAAAGTCGTCCACTCACACCGGAAATAATGAAATCATATGATGAAACAGTCTATAAACCTAGATTGTATAGAATGCCAAATGAGATTGATTATTCGCCTCATTCACGCAGAAATGGATTAGCATTTATACCTTATCATCATTATGATCATTTTATGCAGAAATCCAATCCAGATGACTCACCAATATTTCATCGGTATAACAGTTTCAGTCGAAAACAACGTCCTGAAGTGATATTAGATCCAAGCGTAATCGAAGATATGGAGTTTTATAACAAACTCGGTGAAACATCTGAATCATCGAAGAAGTATCCACTATTTCATGGTATTCTGCGCATGTATATATATATCTTTTTAATTACTTTTAGAACTGAGTATTTTATTTATTTGTGTCTAGGAACTATAATTGTTAGTGTAGAGGTGTGGTTCAGTGGTTTAGAAGGACGACTTTCAACAACTGAGTCACGGATTCGAGCCCTATTCCACCTACCAAGGTTTAGGCAACTAGGTAGTATCATTAGGCGTCATGCAATAGATATAGCTAATTGCCTACTGCACGAATGTACACAACGTTGTTAAGTATATTTCATTCATAAGTGTTGGTTACTATTACGAAATCAAAGAGTGACAGATTTCAAGGTTTGTTAAATACTTGGAGTCAATCTTCGAAAGAGTTGTATATGTTAACTGTTAAGCTCTTTAGGACATATTTCTGAACCTCAGAGGAAGTTATATTGCATCAACAATTCGCATCACTGTCACTAAATACCAATATCTTTAGTGTTAATGATTTTAGTGTTAGATGTCATCGAGAAATGAACACTAAGTACGGAATGATTGAAAACTGAGCGATATCGTTTCTGTTCTAGATGATTCATTCAATGTAAAATGGACTCTAGCTGGTATATATATATATATATATATATATATATATATATATATATATATATATGGCCTTGTAACTGTATCATTTCATTAAAAATTTGATGTCCAATATTTTAAAGACTTGCATTAGTTTATAACACGTCGATACTTTAGTAGATATTAACAAAAACCTAATATTCAACAAAAAGCAAAGGCCAGTTTCGTTACAGTCAGCGTTTTATAACAAGTGAACAAGACATTTCTGGTGAGGTTCGTGGATGAGCACTATCAGGACGAAACAACTGTCCGGGGCTTCCAGATTTCCAATGTTTCTCCAACTGATGTCAGTCCATTATGAATACCAGACAAAAATCAATAAGTAAATCCCCGCAAACCTCTAAGTTTAAACATTTATAACTCTAAAGTATTCTCTGATCATCATTTAAATGGTTTCTTTAAATTCAACACTTACAGACTTTAGTATCAGTCCGCTGATTATTGATGATTGAGAGATATTGGCGATTTTCAGCAATGCACCCCTCCTCTCTCCATAAATTCTCTTGTGACTAGTAGTAAGTATGGAAGCGACAAATATTCTAGAGTACAGACGACAAATGAATCTTAAAAAGATATTAATTTTTTTATCCATTTGGAAACTAGTCAATAATAGGAGTTTGAAATGAATTAAAAGTTCATTAGCTTAGATTTTCCTTGAGTTAGGCGATTAAACTTTAACTAGAGTGTGTCATGGGTTCGAATATCGAATTACTAAAAGAAAATTTCATTAGCTACATAGTATCATAGCCATTGTACAATAGTTGTGACTAATAGCATTGTACGAACCTGTGGGTAGTTGTTGAGATGCATCATTGTCATTGTTAATAATATACTGTCAGTTGTTCAACTTTTGACAATAGATAGAGACAAACACTAGGACTCTGCACTAACTTCATAGATGTATGGTTTCATTTTGCGGTATTTTGAAAGAGAAAACCAATGAGATGAAGAACAAGTTGGAAATAAATGTAATGCAGCTAGTTGTGTAGGATATTAAAAAAAGCCTGGATGAGCGCATCTGCTTAGCTACAACCTATTTTAAACCATATTATAATAAGAATAATAATCGCTTCATTCCACATAACATGTGTGATACATTATGAAGTTTTCAGCAGGTTATATTTCAACAAATACGCTCCCCGTACAATATTTTTAAAAGAATTGGGTAACGTCATTAAAAGCAGTAATGTAAAACGTGTAGCTGGTGTTACATTAGCGTCTGGTCTGGACTTGTGGGTTAATACAAGTATAATTATGGTCGTGGTAGTTCACTCAACCACTACAAAAAATCTGCAATTCAATATAGACATCCTAGGAATAGCATTGTGCTTTACTTTTGGACATTTATATGTCGATTTCTATCCATTGTGAAGTTTTTTCTTTGTTTCGTTCTTAGCTTGACAAGCAATAGTTTGAAAACATTTAGAAGATATATCTAAAAGATTAAAACAAACGTAAAGACAAGAATTCGATGAAATATGTATCCAGTGAAAAACATTTTTTGATAACCCGAAGTGTAAGGAGGCCGCCGAATTATCGAAGATCTCCAACCATTGATTATTTCTAACTTTTTTGAATCTGGATGAGGTCTAAAAACATTAAGCTTCCTTTCACTGTAATTTTACCTTAGGTGTTATAGCCTGTAATTTCCTGTCATTGATTGGACCGAATTGGCCGACCACTGTTGACCATATGAACTCCTGTGCGGATGCCTCGATAATACCGGTATTTTTAGTTTGGTATTATTAGAGCTAGCAGTCGAATCCGGGACACGCGTTTTTTCCTGCTTGGGACTGGTCAGCTAGATGTACCTACATACCAGTGAGTGATGTTGTTCCCACTAACCACTCCTTGTGCAAGGGCTATAGTATAGTTTTCATGTTGTCGCTTATAGTTCCTTGTCATTGATTGGGCCGAGTGATAGCCTGGCTAGTAACGCTGTATCGTTTGAGGCGATTTGTCCTGGGTTTTAGTGGAAACAACATCACTCACTGGGAGACAGGTGCATCCAACTGACGATTCTCGAGTGGGATGAAATGCGCATCCTGGATCCCACTGCTAACCACCGTAGATTATTAATTTTATTTTGGCTATGTTAAGTGTTGAGGCATACGTAAAATATGGCGATGTATTTCATTGCCTTGAGCATTCGACTTTAAAGCACTGAGTCCAGGGTTCAAATCTTGTGCTACCTACCTGGACATGAGTAACTAGGTGGTATCATTAGTCCTTAGACAATAAGTGTAGTTCATAACCGTCTACTACTTAAACCTGTATCTAGTTGGTTTGGATTTAATGTATATCCCAATCACTTAGATTGTTTTAGGTCCTAAACTTTGCCAATTATCATGTATTACTTTTGCGCTTTGATAGACAGTCAGATAGTATAGGTGTAATCCATTCATATACATCAATTTATGAACAATCACTGTATTTTGTAAATTTCATGAGTTTTTGAAATACTTTTCTCTCTTTTATTTTTTAAATAGAACCCAAACGTATTCACCATGGAAGTGAGTATGAATATACTCATCAGGAATCTAATATACCTAAAAGTGAGTTGTTCCACACAATACACTATTATCTAAAAGTGATGAAGATAAGGTATTTATTGTTTATCTGCTCTAAATGTAAGCATAAATTAATGTAAACGGTTTGTGTAAGTATAAAATTTATTTTCTTCACTCCATTAGGTTGTAACTATGATGATAAAACCGTATTAACTATCTTTTAGCCTAGAAACAATCCAAGCAAACTGAATAACACCAATGTCATCATCATCTCATTGTAATGAATGTAGTGGGTTAATTTGTATCCCATGGTATTCATTGACTGAAGTAGTTGAGAACTTGTGTTACGCATCCTGAGTCACCATCTACTTTGACTCACAGTGTTGACTGAGGAATTGTGGTTAGGCCAATTATATGACATTAGTTTATAAAGTTATTGACTGTTGATCTGGGTCGTACAGTGAGATTTAGTCGTCCTTGTTGATGTCTACGAAACAACTGAAGTCTATGATTAAAGACTCTAGGTGATATGGCTAAAGATCGATTCAGGTGATATAGATATGTCCACACCTTATCTTTATCGTAATCATGATGTCCTGTTTCATTATTTGCTTTAAACCCTCTTTTTATTTTATGACTTTGTTGTATTATTTCCATTTCTTTGCCCTTCGTTTTGTGTTGTATCTTGGTGCACTGACATGAATTATGACAACTTGGACCGTCTCGTGGTGTGATGTTAGCTGAAGTACATTCAGTTTAGAAAATGGCTAGGGACAGTTAGAATGGAATATAGCATCAGCTCATAAAGTCTTTGACTATTCGTCTGAGCCATTTAGGGAGATGCAGACTAACCAATTGGGGTTGACTCGACAACACAGATCGGAAGTTAGAGACTGTAGGTGATATGGATCGAAATCTATGTCACTGACGCAGATGCATCTATACATTATCTTAATCTTAATCGTTATACTAAATTCAGCATCTCATTCCTCCTTCCTCTCTTTTACTGCTTTTGACCGATTCTTCTTTATTCCCTCCACCTTTCATCTTAGTGCTTACTCTCTTGATGTGTTGATTAATATGAGGTGTGGCAACTTGAACCGTTACGCAGTAATATGGAGGTCTTATGTTGGTTTTGTCCGCCTGTGTTGATAATGTGTATGATGAACACCGAAACAACTTTAGTCCACACGATTATTTCATTAATCTTCTTTTTCTAGTATTTGAGTGGAATGAGATGTAAGTAACAATATTTGAATACATGGAAACAGTTGATGTTTATACAGAACCACTGAACTACAGAAATATCAGAATATAAGAAAAACCCGTTTACTATTTTGATGCATATAAAGATATACAAAGAAATCGACTAACCAACTTATTCTGATTGGTTCAATGAGACACTAGACTATTCATTAAGATATTATCCTGACTACACAGTAACTTAGTTGAAATTTATAGCTTAAAAACTTCTATCTCATTATTTCATAAAGTTAAACATTCATGTTCGATTTCGCCCCTTCCTATTGGTTTTCTTTTAAAACAGGGCATCCCCTTTTTACATGACTGGAGATAACTGACGTGACAAAAAACAATTTCTAAAACGGCAATAAAAAGTTGAATGGTAATAAATTTTATTAGTCACTTCCATAACCTTTTCACTAAGTAGTCGTATTGATAAATAACATATTCACTGTGACCAAAATCATAACTTCGTGTGAAACCAGGGCACTCAAAATTACCAATGTGTTTTATACTAATAAACTGATACTGAGTATGGAGATTATATATTCAGTCAATATCAGAGAAGATACGGCAACCGACTCGAAATCGAGTAAAACAACGCTATATCATAGTCTGTTTTCAGAGGCGTTTAATATTAGAGATCAAGATGCATAACTACTGTATAGGTGAACATGATATTCCACTCAGACCAGACTCGGTTGTGTAGTATTTGACTTCTAGCATAATCATAAGGTAAACAACCTGATTAACATAGTTGCCAAAACAGTATTTATTTAGATCACTGTAGATTATTAAACAATCAGTTCAAAGGATACTTAAAGCGATTTTAAAGGTTTTAAGAGTTCATAATCATTTGATCATAGCCAGCAAACACCAAACTCAGGATAACTCAAAAAGTTTCAAACCTGAACGATGCTTCATTGGTGAAACGTTGAGTTTTTAACATACCATGGAGTGTAGATACTTGTCATGTTTCTTGACCTAAAAATAAAATTTATTTCTTGTGATGGAAAGGCCTTATAACAATGTCCCACACTGAAAGGGGGTCATAGACAAGTACGTTATCCTAAAAAGTATTCTCTACTAAAACGCTCACGATTGTTTCAGAGCATGTTCATTAGAAATAGTTAATTACCATTTTCATTTAACATTTTCAAATATACACTTCTTAAAGAAACATTTTTTTTTTAACTTCCCAGGGATTAATATCTTTAGAAATTGCTAGATCCACTTAGATTACACAAACGACATAGTTCTGCTCTACCAAGTCTAGCTAGTTTTAGTATTTTTCAGGATTATACAACCTTTTTCCTTGATCATTTTCTGCATCAAGGTGAAACAGAAGGATCAAATATGTAAAGTAAAATTAGCTTTTTAGGTTGGAATTCATCATAAACTAACATCAGTTGGAAGAACATTGGACAGATAGAATTAATATAACGCTGATTGGTGTTTAGCTTCAAGAGATGATTCCCAAAGTTACAATGAGAATTCGTGACCAAGTCGAACATGAGGACAAGTCACTCAACGATGACATTGGATGTAGGTCACGCTATATCGTAAACTGACAGAAATAGGAAATATTGACCATTGTATTCCGACCTAGTGACTCAATGATAATGTGCTGGCCATGGAAACTGAAGGTGCTTGGTTCGACCCCTGATGGTATGAAGTCATGGGTGCGCACTGCTGAGAGGAGCCACATACTAGGACGAAACAGTCCAGTACTCCCAGGTTTCCAGTGTTCTTCCAACTGATGTCAGTTCATGATGAATTCCAACCTAAAACTAATTCATAAATCTCCTTAAACCTCTAGATAAAGCTAGCTTATTTTATTTTTAAGTCTTTCCTCAACTACTCATAGCCTAAAACACAAAGAGAATTTTTCAAGTTGGTATTCATCGCAGACTGACATCAGTTAGAGGAACAATGGAGACCTGAAGGCACTGGACAGCTGTTTCGTCCTGGTATGAGACTCTTCAATAGTGCGCACGCACGACCCCACCAGGGATTGAAACCGTGACCTTCAGGTTCCGTAGCCAGCACGTTGCCATTCAGCCACTGGGTCGGAGCACAACTTCTTTCAGTTCACGACATAGTGCGACCGCCATCCAGTATCATCCTTGAGTATTTGTCCTCATGGTCATCAGGTTTGCCTCATTAGTCACAACTTCTCACTAGAACTTCGGGAATCACCTCTCGTGGGACAAACCTGATGACCGTCAGGACAGATACTCAAGGATGACACTGGGTAGCGGTTGTGGTATGTCGTGAACTGGCAGAAGTTGGAAATATGGACCATTGGGTTCCGATCCAGTGACTCAGTGGTTACGTGCTGGCCACTGAACCTGAAGGTCACGGGTTCGATCCCAGGCGGGGTCGTTGGTGCGCGCTGTTGAAGAGTCCCATACCAGGACGAAACAGCTGTCCAGTGCTCCTAGGTTTCCATTGTTCCTCCAGCTGATGTCAGTCTACGGTGAATACCAACCTGAAATGTCTCTAAATCCCCACAAACCTCTCAAAATACGAAGCGAATTATTAAAATTGGAACATACATTTCTTTTGAACAGGAGGAACATAAAAATTAGTTGGCTTAATGCTTTTCGAATCGTTTTGGGAGAAACGAATACAGAATCCAACTTTCGTTTCTTCCAGTATAATCGCTTTGACAAGTTCATCTGAATTTATAGATACAAACAGATACGACTTCAGAATGGTACTCGTGGACTTGCAACTCAGGAAAGTCACAAGTACAGTTTACCTATCGGATCAGTTCTGGAAACACCAATTCTTTATCTTTTGGGACTGACATCAGTTAGAGAACGATTAAAAACCTAACAGCACTGGACAGGTGTTTCGTTCCAGTATCTGACTCCTTAGTAGTACACACCCGTAACCATACTGGAAATCCTTTGCTCACTCATTTTGAAGTATCATCTCCCTTAAACCCTGACTAAATTAAAACTGGATTTTTTCTCAGTTTAGCACTGGACACTGAAACGTTCGCGTTGTCTTGCATCCCAAAGTGAAAAGTATAACTTCAGAACTTGTATACATCCATTAAATTTTCAATATGAAGGAGTAAAGTAGTTGAACTTGTTGACCATTCTACATGAAAAGTCACATCACCACTCCTGATGGTTTGGTGAACGGTCAAATCGTTTGATGTCAGTCACTTCATCATCACACAGCTTGTTGAACCGTCAGGATATCTTAATGCCTACGGAGGGTTATTTATACTGCACAACAGTTTATTGTCCTACTTTGTGACATACGGTTATCAAGTTTGAATGATACTTGAAGGCTTCAAGTATTTGATCATTAGTGCATCGATAACATCATTTATCTGGTGAAATTAAGCATTGCTAAGTTTTAGTCTAGGTGAAAAAAGTAAAATCGTTATTAAGGTTGTACTGTTCCATCCATTGGATTGGGTTGTGTATGTTACACATATCAAGCCATTATTTGCTGGTACAGATAGTATTGTATTGAACAGGATTTCGCTGGAAGATGCTGAACGGAAAAATAGAGACATGTACTAATCTATCAAGTCTATGATTGTTGATTTCAGCTGTTGAGAAGTCGATGGCTGGAGGTGACTATGCATCATAGTGCAGGTGCTCATCGTAATTTAGAAATCTTATATGCATACATCTTTATTCACGTTGCCGTAATTTTATCTTTGTCTTTTCATTCCCTACAACTTTTCTTTCATCTTGTTGACTTTCACTTTGATTTACTTAGAGTAAATAAAACAGCTACTCAGGTTTTAAGTCGTTTACTGCTATTCGTTTTCTCATCACTCAGTAGAGTTCAACGTTTTCCAATTTTCTAGTCTCATATAAGAAGTCGCTTTGCACGGGTTAGTTGATATCTACAACATAGTGTGAACACTGTAGAGATTTCTTATTTAAGTTCACATTAATGGTGTCATCAGAATTCAAGGCTAGGTGGTCTGTTGTAAAAAAAATATTGTCTATTGTCAAAAACTACTCATGTACTGTTCCTGTAGAAGCAACAAAACAAAAATATGGTTATCATTTTTGACGATCTGGGATAGCCAAACTTTGGCTATCTCAGATAGTCAAAATGATAATCAATATGATGCTGTCCCTCTCTAATTCAGTTCGATTTGGATTTGGATGAGAAGTCCTGACTTGGCAGCCAGTGTGAATACGACCAAGTGGTAGTAACGTGTCACGAATTCACATGGTAGTCGGGCAAAACCCTTGGTGATTGAATCAAGTAAAGATCTGGTCAGCGTTCGGACGTCGTAGCTCATTTGGTAGAGGACCGGGCCAGTAACCTGTCGGTCGCTGGTTCGAATCCTGCCGCAGTTCAAATTTTTTTTTCACTTTCAGTCATCACCCATTAATATGGTTGTTGAATTCATTAGGCTTGGAGAATGAATGTTTCACTGTGAACTTTCGAATCCACTTAATCTCTTAAACTTTGATGAGATCTGAATATCAACAGCTACTAGATAGATTCAAATGGTCTGGATATTTTGAATCTGTGAAATGAAGCTGTTTAATTATGTCAGTGATTATATTTGACCTAATTCAGCTGGAGCTGTGGCTCATTAGTTTCAACCAATGGGCTATAAATCCGAGCCCCAACCCACCTACTAAGGTTTGGGCAGCCAAGTGGTATCGCTAGCCTTCAAGCAATAGATGTGGCTCATTGCCTACTGCGCGAACGTGTACAAGGTTACTGAGTGGACTTCGATTCCATTTGAATCCAGCGAAACGACTGTGGTGAAATCATTTTGATCAAGTTGACAAAACCTGTAGACTAACATAGACGATGCTTTATTACTAATGTTGTTCAATAGTATTGAATTGATAAAAGCTTTTAATGTGCTGTTTGTTGATTATACAACATTTTCCTAAATATTTTATGTATAAAATCGAAATAAGATTGTTACTTTTCATTGGTTTTCTTTCCTCACTTTTAATTCAGATAGACAGCAACCATCAACTATGGCTAATCTACATATTACAACAACCGACTCATCACAGAGTATTATAGCTGCGGTTAAACAAAGTCAATCTGAGGGTCATACATCTGCTCTACTGTTAGCCTTTAGTCTTGGATTAATTTGTTGTTTTATTGGTTTGCTTATTGCTGAATGGAGACGTCGTCAAAAACTTCATCTATGGTCAAAATCATCATATCGTTCACGTCCAGAACAGGCAATAGTATTCGGTGGTCGAACAAAAATATCCATGTCGAGGTTGAAACCATACCGTCGAATAAAGAAAGGTTCTGGTATACATGGACAGATAAGTAAAAATTCTACTACTATTCATCCTAACACAGAAAATGCGGATGAAGAAAAAGCTTTATTTGACGATTTGGTATTGTGATAATAATAATAATAATAATAATAATAATAATAATAATAATAATAATAATAATAATAATGGCAGTTATTATTATTATTTCGAAATGTGGTGAACTCGTGGTGCATTTTTAAGCATTTACTCTAATTTGTTTCATGTCTTCATTTTGTTATTTTTTTGGTGTCTTTTTACTCTTCAAATGGCTTTTATTAAATTCTTCTTCATTATAATATGAACAAATATTCATTAGTTATCCTGAGCTATTGTTTATATTTCGTTTGTTTTAGTTGTAAGGTTTTATATATAGCTTATTACTTATATTGTTTTTCTACGGCATTCCATTTCATGTTGGCATTTATCCCCTTTACATTATTGTGTTTCTATATAGAGAAATGCTCCCTAGTACACATTCCCTTGCCCCCCCTCCCACACTGTTTAATGTTGTGGTCAATAAAACAAATATTTTTTTTGATAATCTCTTTCACTGTTGACTTTTCATGAGTTCTTTTCTTTGCTGAAATCTTGAGATTACCTATAGGTTGAATACCTTCTGGATGACTTTCTTGGTAGTAGGACCATGTGTGTGTTTAGCTTGAGCGGGTATCCTGTATTTAAGATTTACATTCATGAAAAATTGCTGTAATGATGTTTTGATAGATGTACATTAGACTAAGTGTTGTTGAACTGGATGGTTAGCTCAAAAAATGCGTACTATTGACTCATTGTGATGGCATGATGGGTGGCCCTTTCCATTAGTCAGTTGGACGAATAATAACAAGAGTAAACATCTGATCAACTAACTGCGTTACATCTTCAATACTAATCAAGAACAATGGAATAAACAATCAGTGACAAACAAAATGTGTTACTGGGATAAAATGATTGTAGTCTCACTTTCAGATAACAAATATTCAATTCAGATGATACAAAGATTAGTAGGCAAACAATCAACTCTTACGCAGGGGTGGGTATTCAAACATTTATCAACTACAACAAAGAGCTTTCCTTCAAAGTTTACAACCCACCCAACTAGTATATATATATATATATATATATATATAATATATATATATATATATATATATATATATATATATATATATATAATGTTTCTCACGTAAACCAGAGCTCAACTGTCCTTTGTTAACTTCTGATTTTGGGTGTATCATACAGAGAGACAGTATTGTTTAGTCTGACGTTTCGAACAGAATTTATCATGTATATCGAAGGTAACTGCGTACTTTTAATGCTCTACCTTTATGATTCTATTTTTCATTTGTTTTATAGGTAGTAGAATTTTAGAAATATCTGTGATTCTTATTGCATATGGTCGATGTTGATTCGATGCCCAAGGCTTGAGTTAACGATCTCTCCTCCATTCTGATAGGTTAGTTCGTAGGGCTGTCGCTTTGTCGTATCCTGTTGTGTAATTATTTGGGTTTGCATGCATGTATAGATTTCGTATATACCAGAGTTTAGCACTCAATATTTGCTCGAGTTTTGTGCTTTGTTACTCTAATGGACCCTGTTCAACTACTCTGAGCTAAATACATTAGTTGCATGGAATTTGAAACCTTTTAGATTAGTTCATCTAATGAGCTCTATAGGATCCTTTGGCCTACAAAGTTCGATTCTTAGTGAGTTTGTTGATTTCAATGCCATCCTAATCTCAACCCTATTGAGAATCCTATGTGAGCATTCTAAGATACCTACCTTATATGATAATGTCATGAAGGTTTTGAATTCTCGTACCTTAGTATTACCACTGTTATTATGTACAGTATCTTTGTTTGCGTTACTTATCTTTTTCTTACAACTTCTTGTAGAATTCTAGGTCAATTGATGAGGATAACTATTGAGTAGTAAACTTTCTTTTATTTCTTACTTCCTGTTGTAGTTTTTATGTTTTACTGCTTAGACATTTCGCTGTATTATTCAAACTTCTAAATAAAACCTATTTTAACTGACACGGGATGAGATAACTTAAAGTCTAAGTATTGATTCGAATATATGAGTTTTCTATAGACACTAGCGTCTAAGTACCCATTTTATCTTCTTTATATTGTGCAGTTCGAAAATGCTAGTTCTTCTTCGTCATTCTCTAATTCCATACACATTCCCTTTTACGAAACTGAATAGACAAAGACCAAGCATTGGAGCAGAATAACATGGTACCACTTTATTTCACCGACAGTTTCTCTATTCTCATATAAAAAAAGAATTTTAAACATGGTTTTTGTAGTTAGATGAACTTATTTAACATAAAACGATATGGTTTAGTAGGGGATACAAACATTCGGATAAAGTTAACAAGACATGCTAAAGATTTCTAGTTATATGTGTCATTAAACAGTCCGAGAAAATAAAATGAATCGTAATAAAAGATTACGTTAATTTTTACCAACTAAACTATTTGTTAATCTTCTTACGTATCACGGATCCGGACTCCGCACCACCTACTGAAGCTTGAGGTAGGTCTTCAAACTCGCCAAAATTGAGAAAGCTGTGAGTAATCTAAAATCAGATAGGCTGGTACTAGAGGTATTTAAGGATGGTGGTAGAGGATTGCTAGCTAAGATTTTAGCTAGTGTATGGGAGTCAGTATTCATCGCCTCGGACTGACCTCAATCAACGATTTATCCAGGCTTCAAGAAAGGCGAGAAGTCCTCCTGTGATAACCACAGAAGAGTCAGCCTGGCAAACACGGTGCCCAAGATTCCGGGTTCTGTAGCCACGTTAAAATGCAGCTCGGGAACAGAAAATGCGAAAGACCAGGTGGGCTTTAGACCTGGCCGTGAGAGTATCGACCAAACGTTTACCCTCTAGCAGCTACTTGGAAACAGCCACATATTGACACCCGACACTAGCTGTATTTCTTGACATAAAGGTTGCATTCGACTCCGTCGGCCAACCGGTCTTATGACAGGGTTTATCACTGAAAGATGTACTGAGCAATTACATCACTGTTTTGAGGACTGCGTTCTCGAACACTTGTGAGGACACTAGATACTACGGCGAGTTGTTTACTTTTAGTAATGTTTGTTTACGATGACCACCCTCTACACTCTTATTCAACTTCATCATAGACGTACCTCTGGAGGTTTCTCTCTCCTCGTCATCTGACTTCCCAGCGACTGATCTTATCACACGAGAATCCTTAGAAGATCTAGAGTACGCAGATGATAGTCCTGAAAGGAGATTTAGAGTCTTCTGGATACCGTACGTAGTAACGGAGAATTTTTAGGATGCGCTTCTCACCAAAATTATTCTTGCACGACTGGTCTTCAAAAGTATTTCGCCAAGCAGTAGGAAGTGAAGTAGTCTAGTGTGTCGGCAGCGTCGCTTATCTGAGAAGTCAGGTTATCCCTGGTGAGTGAGTGACCAACGAAATCTCTTTACGGATGCAGAAGGCTCAGTAATTTTTTTCTCAACTCACGCCGTTTATGGCGTTGCGATGATATCCAACTTTCCGTTATGAGTAGAGTATAATGCACTGCAGTTTGTTCTTTTCTAGTATATGGTGTGAAGCATGTCCATCAAATGGCATGAGACGGCTTCAAGTATTCAACCACTGTCGCCTTCACCACGTCAGTAAAGTAGACATCAGGCATACAGTTTTAGACAGAAGAGGAAAGTCAGTCGATGAGATTGTGAGCATTCATAAACTGAGGTTTCTGGCTGAGACATGGGTAACACACACCTAGTTACTGTCTGCTCCGTCGCACAATGTTTGCCGAAGTAAGTTCAGTCTAGAAAAAGGCTAGGGAGGGGACTACACTAAACCCTGCGTCATCTCATGACTATTGCTTTAGCCTGTCGGGGGAATGTAGGCTGCCTCGTTAAGGTCCATGTACGAACAAAAACCAGGGGTTGGGAACTTAGCGACAGATAGACATTATCAACATAGGACCTGGCATTACTGCGTACCCGTCCAAGTTGTTACACCACTAGACCAATCAACTCGCTACTTTCTGAAGTGAGCAGCTAATCATTGATAAAGTAGGCCTAAAAAACGTCTGTCTTATGTATTTCAGCTTGACCATATATGAAGGTTAGGCAATAACATCCTTTCAATCTAAGCTCATCATAGTTTCGGTTACCAATCAGTTTTAAATCCACTTAGTTCCTTGGTGATTTGCTTCTCGACAGCTTTTGATATCTCTCTACAAATTATCCACTTTAAATTGTGATGAATCTCTAAGTTTTATATTGCTGATATTCTTCCTTACTGATAACTACCACTGTGAAGTCGAAGAATCAGTGCACAAAGAAGAAATACATTTTTTTCCAGGATGATGATAAAGAAAAGAGACCGATTAGAAGTGCCACGCGAACGATTTAGTTAGCTGTCAATTAGTACTTCAGTGTCAAACAACATGCTGCATCAAGATATCAACTATCTGAATCTTCAGTTATGTTTCCCAACTTACATGTAATTATGGAGGGCGTACACATCAGAAGAACGGAGAGACTATTGTCTACCCCGATTCTTGAATATGCACCGAGGAATTAGGATTTAAAAGGTTATGTTTATTTCATCAATCGAAAAGCACTCGCAAATGAACACATAATTTAACACACAGGAGACTTAAAGTACACTGCAGTTTTTTGTAGCCATAGCCATCAAGAGGTGAGAATCTAACTTGTGTTCTGAGACTGTTCGTCAAACAACTTACTCCCTCTAAACTTGTATGTTTAGTTGAAGAGTAAGACTTTGGTACTGGTAGAGTACAATTCCATACTAGATTATTTTGTATCACATACATCGATAACTGTATCATTCATTGTGTTCTATATCAAATAAACTAATCCAACATGGAATGAAACTAGCAATTCCCAACATCTCTAGCCGTTTTTAACTTACTAAATAACTAGTAAACATTATTTTTTTGATAAATTATTTTACGATTGCCATTGTGATTATATTTACATATTTTATCCACTCATCAACTCTGTACACAAAACTTTTCGTCTGTTTACATTAACACCTTTTAAGATACCAACGTCTGCGCCATTCATTCCAGAACATTTACACGCTTTTCTTATGTGTTTAGTTTGACTGAATGAATGAGACCTATATTCTGCTATTTCTCATACAACCTCTTCATTATGTATATTTACATTTGTTTATTAATTATTTAGGTTGCATGCAGCTGACTAGAATCCTGATAGTTGGAGACGCAGTCGGCAGGTAGCTCTGCTAGGTCTAAGTTTCGTGCTTGCCAGTACTCGCCAGGAAGGCGTATCCGAAACCTCGAAGGAAGTGGTGTCTCATGTGAAATTCGAATCCGTGTCACCCGATGTGCTTCAGTCAGAGACTTTAATACTGAGCCATTTAGGCAGCAATTGACTTCCTGTAGGACTGGATTGGGTAAGCTGACCAATCACTGGAGAACAATTGTTTTTATGTTGTATAGAATTGAGTACTGACGATTGCTAACAAGCACAACACTTAGGTTCAGGGTTTCATGCCGATGGTTGCCATCCAACTAATATCTATCAAAGTACACCACGATGATGAGTCTCCTAACTTGGTGGCCATATAGCAAAGTGATGAGTGGAATTCGATTAGCATTCAAGAGCAAGCAACATGAAGCTGGTTACTCTCCGATGATCAATAAGATACTGTTCTCACTGTACTATTCCAGTTCATTTAGGGCCTTATTGTATGAAGTGGAACATTTTACTTTTAAGTGTTTTTAGTAATATAGCATATTTTATATTATTTTCATCGATAATAGTCGGTTTTGATGCGCATACGTTTTTTAACCCGTCACGGAAAAGATATAATACAGACAGATTAAGATAGTTCACGGGACGATTACATAAACCTGTACAATGTTCAACATCTGTGAGATTATCTCAGCTAGCAAAAATAAAGAAACTATTAACATAAAGTGATTTATTTAGGGTATATAAATACATCTATAAACGTTTAGAAATATAGTAAGCTTTGAGGAATAAAATAATAGCACTAATCATATTGCGATAAACTCTCATCTCATCTACTAAAATGTAAAAGTAAAGTTTCTATTTAATTCGATATAAGATACGCCGTTGCATCCTATATTGTACTTCACCACGACGAATCATATAGTGCAAGACTTTGGTCACAGCGCGTTCTGGAAAACCCTGTAGTCAGAAATAGAGAGAAAAATTAGTGGGCACAACAAAATGGCAAAGTAATTATCAGAATTATAAAATAGGAATTATACAAATTGCTGATGGATAGTAGCTAGCAGTGGAATCCAGGACGCGTGCTCCATCCTATTTGAGACTCGTCAGCTGGATGTACCTGCCTCCCCAGTCAGTGATGTTGTCTCATCAGGGACTCGAACTAGGGGTCGATCGCTTCAAACGCCACAGCGTTACCTACTAAATCACCGAGCCACAATAGCCGCTCCTATTGCTTGTATTATTATAATACAAGTAACACCACTATACAAATTGCACTACAAAACATATTGAGGAGCTAAAATCATTCACAGACAAACAGAAACCAGTAAAACAATACATCAAATAATGACTTATCACTTCAGGTTGTCATAAATTACATCAACACATGGAGATATAAGTCAACAGAATAAAGGCAAAGAAATAAAACCAACGACTTTTGAAGGAAAATACTAAAGCCAAAATGGAAATGAAGACATTTGATAGTAAATGTCTCAAGGTATTAAATAATATTCCACACACTTGCTTTTAATACACGATAACAAGTAAAAGGCTACCATTCAATTTTCTTAAACATATTCCAAAGGATTTACATTAGAAGAACATACTAAGCTTTGACTAGTCCCATTTGGATACACCTCGTGGATGCTTTTAACATGAATTGTCTACCTTGTGTATGGTGTATAAGCGATTGGAATTTAACTTTTTTCACCCTAAATAATGCATACAAGAAGAGTAGTGTTTCATTGCCATAATAATTGTACTTTGAATTTCTCTTATATCACTTGCATACTCCTTTATTTTGTTCACCTACTGACTTCACTAAGTTGATTTCATTACTATGCGCATTGATTCTTTCATGTGTTATGTGACCTGTTAGATACTACTTATATCCTTCTGTGTACAGCTCTCGATTCTTCTATTTCCTAACATATAAATTAGCAGTGATTTTGATTTACAACTTTAGATTTATACGTTTTCAATCATTCAGACTCTCATGAATATCCCTGAAATAAAATATCATTTTATTCCGTAAATCCAGTTGTTATTTCATCCAGATTTAGATGATGATAATAAGAATCTTGTATATCTAAACTTCTGTGATCAGCTATGAGTTATGTAAATTGGTCTATAGAAATGAAGTGACTTTAAAGACCACCCTAGCAGCTGATGAAATAACCAACCACGTTTCTCTATTCCATGAAAAATGGTCTTCCCAGAAAAAATACAGCGACCTCATTGGTCAGTTGTTAGGGTGGCCTTTAAAGTCGTCCATAAAAATATCATTTAATTATTTCATAGACCCCAGGAAGTCTAATCAGTTTGATCTTTGTGACCGAGTGGGTGTGCTCCGTCTATTGTTTATGTGTTGGTTATCGCCTTAAATGTATACTAAGAGATTTAGTGCAAGTCATACACAGATAGATAGATTTAGTCTAAACATTTACGGGTTTTTTCTGTGATGCTACGTGGTTGCTTAAATCTCGGTAGATGAAATGAAGTTGGGAACTAAGCGTATATCTGACCACCCCCACAACACTAATTGTCTTAAATTAACTGAATGTAAGCAGTTGTCTTAGACAGGATGGGAAATTCACAAATGTTGTCGTACATCTGTTTATTAGCCGTATCATAACCAATTTTGTTAACGGTACATTTTCCGTCATCAATGTAGTTTGCGAACTACCTACTTATCATTCATTAGTAACGCATACTATATATTTTAAGAACTGGAGATAAATTTCAAAATACTCTTATTAATCCATCAAGGTGAAACAATCATTTTTTTTGGTGCGATTCACATTTAAAGTATCTGAAAATCGAATCGAAATGAACTTAGGCAACTTGCACGTTTGTGTAGCATACCAACAAACTACACCTGTAAAGGCTAATGATACTAACTAGTTGCTCAAATTTCAATGGGTAGTATGCGGTTCGAACATGCAAAGTATTTGACACTTTCTAGTAAAAATTAGAGCAGACTAAAGAGAAAATAATAGACTAGCATATATGTGTATCTTAGCAATTGAATAGTTATACAAAATTCGCGAAATAACATCTAGCAAAAACAAAATAAAAATTACGTACTTGTCGGGCAAAATCTTGCACAATTGCATATTCTGACACTTGACTCCCGATAACAAATCGTTTTTTCAATTGTTTTTCTACTCGTAGGATAAGATCGTGCTCTTCTTGTGTAGTAAAACCTTCAGCACCTTCTAGGCTTCCAGACATAGCTGCTTCCAATGTTGACACATGAAACAGACGTATTGCTTCTTCAACATCCGTTTCAGTGGCAAATGCAGACAAACGCATTTTAGCTAAAGATTCAGATATCCGTATAATTGCTTCAAGCTGCCTGTGAATAAGAAAATAATTCAATGATGTACACAAAGCACACGTAATGAAAAAGTCAAAACTTTGAGTTCACTGTGAAATTTGAAAACTCACCGTACTGTTATAGGAATAGCACAACGTTTACCCGTCTCCTGTTCGTACCGTGTAGAACCAGATCTCATGAGAACATACTGGTTTGATAATTTTTCAGCAGCCTGTTCAGACAAACGAGGACCGCAACGTTCACGTGCATAGGCAATAAAACGTCGAAGAGTACCAAGTGGAATTTCATCTGATGATCCAGTATCCATTGTATTCGTTCCAATAGGATCACTGAATTGAATTACAAATAGAAAAATATACATATATAAAGTAATGATTTACTAGTCAACGGAAGTTTAGCTAGATCTAGGCAAACTAACTACTTCACAAAACATACAAAGAAAAAGTATACCATACGGATTTCGAAACAAATATAGAGAAACAGTTGTGAAATATTTTCTCCCTCTCAATGTAGTATTCAAATTAGTGATCGTAACAATGGGAGTAATTACCAAGTCTAATACCTAAGATGTCTAAGTGATTTAAAGTGCTTTGAACAGTTTTATCGAAATGCAGAGGGGGAGCGCGGCGGGAATAAAATGATTTTACTTCTAAGTGACTTGGTGCAGACAGACACATCAATGTAGAACCTGGTGTAAAAATGCACTAGTGTAACATGTGAAAAATTGGATAGAAAAAAAAGGCATTAAGATGGACTAAAATGTTATCATTATTCGTTTTAAAAAAAGTGTATGAAAGCAGAGAGAATAAATGGATGAAGGTCGACGTAAATGTTTACAATTTTGACTCTAAGTCTTATACAATCCCACTTCGGTTAACATCTCGCATCCAGGTCGGTACAGTTCATGTCCATGAAACCTCAATTCGAGGCTTAACCACTTTGCTTTATACTTTAAGCCTAACTCATACACTACTCATATGGTGGTCCAGCCACACGCAAACAATGATATGAAGGCACCTATGATAATAAATCTGTGGCATCTTCACATCCCCAGGTTTTAACTTTCATTCCTTACAGATGTATAATGGGATAAGAGTGTACTGCTATGGAGTACACTTAGCCTTTGATATTTAGTCAATCTTACCGGTGCCGTAAGCCGGTAAATGCCAAAAGGGTTGCTTGTATTCCAGCTGAGATTTCGTAAGTAACCAACCCCTTCGGGATGATCCAACTTTACAAGTAGGTGAAGTAGTCAACACCTTCCATCATTTCACTTCTTACCCTTTAACTAGTAGTGTAAAGTAGTCCTGAAGTATGATCTCACATCTCGTAGGTACAGAACACCTGCCAAACTTCATGCAGAATTTTGCTTCAGTTAACAGGACCATTTGGTCTGGGTGGTATACGTCAATTAACTAATGATTTGGTATTCGATATAACTACTTATCATTCAAGTCAGGGTCCTGAATATTCTGGTACATTCAGACGACAAAATCTTTCGGCACTTTAACCTTCTCAATACATATCGACTTTGCACTATTGGATTTAATTGTAGCATCCTCAGCCCCCCATCTCTTCGAGACAAAACGGTAATTACAATTTGCCGTTATCTGAAGTACTGTCAGCATACAGCACTCAACTGTTCTCAAGCAACATATACACAATCATTAAACGCTATATTTATGTAGAATTCGTCTCATGTACAGGCCAATTTTACAAGAAAACCTTTACTTCTTTGAACTTACTTTCCGTGTAAATGAACTTGCATCACATGTTTCGCGAGGGTGGTATCACGTTGAACATCATGCTCATCACGGATCACGAAAATCATATCGAAACGTGACAAGATTGTTGGCATAAAATCAATATTATCTTCTCCTTTTGTATTATCCCAACGACCATAAACACTATTTGCAGCGGCCAGTACTGAACAACGGCTGTTTAGTGTTGTTGTAATCCCAGCCTATATACGAAGAGAAAGATACTAACAGGTAGTAAACTGTTGAAAGATAACTTGCCAGTTTCAGAATAAAGCCCATGTTACAACAGCTTTGGAGATTCACCTAATTCAGCAGGAATTTCAATCATTATACTTTTAGACATTCAAGACAATTGAGTAGGTAAAAAAAAAGGCATACCACAGAACACAGTTTTGTGTGTACAAAAATTATCGTTTATCCTGAAAACACTTTGCATCCCGAAACAACCATTCACTAAGAGGTGAAGTGAAGATGAGGTAACCAAAGTATGAAGGCTGAAAGATGAACTACTTAGCAATTAGACAGATAAACACGTGGAAATCTATCAACTGGTTAGTGTGAAAATTTAACGAAGTGGTGGAGAGAAGTACTTGAATTACTACTTAACTTTCTTATACATACCCTAACCATACGGTTGATACATCTTGAACGTCAAACACCCTAATCTTTTTGTCCGTGGTGTTTTACACGATACGTGGGTCACTCATTCTCTTCATAAGCTTTTAAATAGCTAAAACCAAGACAAGTTACAAACCGACAAAATAAAAGTAGTAACTCGCACACATGTGCATTGACTCAAGTTGCCACATTTCATATTAGTATACGAAGAAGAAGTGGATAGAAGAAGAGTGATATTAAAGTAGACAAAGTAGTGTGAGAGAAGAGACAATTTGAAGATAATGGTTAGTTCGAATATTCAAGCTTCAGAACACGTCAAAGAGTGAATACATCTGCGCCATTGTCACCGATCTTCAACCATCCCACCAAAAGTCCTCAACCACTGATTTCTAACGTCTCAGGGACCCCAAACAAGTAGTCTACATCTCCCCACACGGCTCAGACCTACAGTTAGGGGGACTTCGTTGACTGGTGCCACATTTCCGTCTGTTCACCCTAAACTCTTTTCCAATGTAATCCAACTTCCCCTAGCATTGCACGTCGAGGTAGGCGGTGGCTCAGCATGCGCAACACATGTCCAAGCCATCTCAGCCGATGAAGATTCACTACCTTATCAGTCGACTTGCCTGTTATGCCTAGTACCCTTTGCTTGACCTCAATGATGTTCACACAGTGATTCCACTAAATCCGAGCAATGCTAAGAAGACATCTGTGATCAAAACCCCGTAACTGTTTCATGTCGTTCACTGTCAACGGTCAAGCCTTACGGCTGCATAACAGGATAGAACGGACTGCAGTGCAGTATACTCGGTTTTTGATAGACAGATAAACAGACTAATTACAACCTGTTATACGTCTAACTGATACACTCGTACATCTAAATTGCGACTACGAAGTACAACAGGTTGTAGAATCCACGAAAGATGTACATACTTCCAGTTCATCGCTTGTGAACTATTAACGGTAAATGTGATACAACATAAATAAGGAATCAAAAACTAGCCAGTAAATATGAACTTATGATTTTTCACTATATTTAGGATATGTTACGCAACTACTATTTCTGACCAGTTGTTTTAAATTTTAGGCTTTTTGTAGCTGACGAGAAGTTATGCAATGAAATGACGTTCATTTATTACATAAATCCGTTTTTTCTTGCTTTATCCAAGTTTCATACCATTTCTTTTACAATCTTTTCCCAACACTACTGAATACAGTTTTGAAATTAAAGAAAGTAACAGATACATTGATGGTGATGAATTCACATAGTAGTCGGGCAAAATCCTTGGTGATTAAAGTGAAATAAAAATCTGGTCATTAGTCGAACTTCGTAGTTTAGTTGATAGAAGATCGAGCCGCAGAACTCGGTGGTAGCTGGTTCAAATCTGGCCGCTGTTCGAATTTTCATCATTTCACCTTCAATCATCAACTAGTATCAATACTAGTCTGATAAAACCACGGCTATCTCAGATAGTCAAAATGATAAGTAGAAGAGATATGTAGTTGAATATTGAAGTAAAACACACAGTTTGCATGTTCTTGATAAACTTAAGAATATAAATTTACGTAAAATAGATGCTTGGACATTAGGACGATTAGATACATCATCTGAAACAACTAGCTACATACAAGAAAGAACTAAGAAAGGTGATTTATTCAACAGTGGAAATAAGTGAAAATTAAATCAATAGAAGCAGTAGTAGTGGAAGAAGCAAGAAGACCCTCATGAAGGAAGGAATGCTTATTGTCAACAAGTGGGATAATAGTCGTTAGATAAGTATAGTACACCTTGCACTAAAATCGTCATTTACAAAATGTGCTTCATTTCCTCTTCTGCTTCTTTCTTGATTTATTCTTTATACGCCTCCGTTGTTTCTTGCGTTTTTCTTGACAGAATCCTTACCCATTGCTGGTAATTCCCCATGATTTTTGCCAACCCCTCAATATATACTACTTATATCCATTCTTATCAGCAACGCCCACTACAGTAGTATTACGAACTGATGCCTTCATGCTATGCTACCCATGAGATGCTTTCTCTATTGTGAAGTTTTGGTTCGCTTTTATTAAGCTTATTCCTCGTGCTGGTTTCTAGTAGCTTTTTGATTAGAAATTGAGATGATTTTAGAAGATGATTTACTACCACTTTCAAGTTGTATATTCTTACCATCAGTTGTAAAACCACTACAATGTTGACTTTCAGTCATAAAAACAATGAAATAGGTAACTGAATATGGACAGTCTTTCAGAAAGAGTACTCAAAATCAAGGTTAAAACCATCTGTATAAATGTACCGTCTTCGCATGGCATGTGTACCTGCAAACTTACTGATAGGAAGCCGGTTAGATGAAAATCAACATTTTAAGTCATGTTACTGTGTGGGTAAGAAAAACCTTGTTAGACAATTTTGTCCCACAGTTGGTCAATCAAAATAAGTATCCCACTTTTGACCTAGTGGTTTTATGTATTCATGAGAAGTGCATACAAATAATTTTTGTCGAATATCTTCCGTATTGTCCGGTGGTCTTTGGCTTCCGATTTTTGTGGATCAGTGAAGTATAAGGTTGTGAGCGAGGACAATTCTTATTTGTATCCCATCATCGCGTTATTATCATTCGTGTATTTATTATCTACTCGGTCACTTCACTTACAAACTAAACGCTATTCTTGTGTAGAGGAAAAGAGAAACAGCGTTGAAGAATTACAACATGAAACCAAAATATATTTAAGAGAACAGATTCTCAGCTCAAAACAGTTATAACGAAAAATTAAAATGATAAATTCTAGTCACCTAACATATCAAGTAAGCTGACAATTCAAACGCCATGTCATAACTACAATATCCGAAATATACTTCCTCATAAATAGCTAGATGTGATTAGTACCCACTAATGATACATATTAACAACCATTCTACAAATATACATGGAAAAATAGAATTATTAATGGTGTTGATTGTATCATACCGTTGTTGAGTGAAATGAATTGATCGGTCTCTATTAGCATACGCGCTCCTGTGCGGACGCTTAGATATTACTCATGTTTTGAATAAAAAAAGCAACGTCACTAAAGCTACACCCATTGCACAAGAAGTGGCTATTGTGACTCGGTGGTCTAGTGGATAACGCTCTGGTGTTAAAAGTAATCGGTCTCGAGTCTTTGTGGGGAAGACGCCGTTCCCTGGGTTGCATGTACATCTAGCTGACGAGCCCTAGTTAGGATGAAACTGCGTCCTGGATTCCACTGCTAGGTTCTCTGAGCTTTGATATCTTTATCATGAACATTTCATCACCACACTAAGTGAAATCTTCAGCGCTAACTTCATAAAGAAATCCCACAACGGTAATAAAATGAGGACAAATAACGAACTTGTGCAAAAGTGCATTGGTTCAACTTGCAACACTTTGTAACAGGAGTAAAAGAAGACAAACATTGGAAGTTGGGGATAATCTGTGAAGCTTATGGTATTACATACAAGAATCTGACATGGTTGTGAACCTTCACTGACTGAGATGGCTGGCTGGAACATGTGTTACATATACCTAGTCGCCATCTGCGTCGTCACACGATGTTGGCCGAAGTCGCTTCAGGCTGGAAAAAGGCTCGAGGCGGCCAGACTAAAAAATTCCACCAGTGTATGAAGTCTTTGATTGTTGGTTTGACCCATGTGGGGTGATGCAGACTAGGTGGTTTGGGGTCGACGGGACAAGAGGAACCAGTGGTTGGAGACTCTAGGTGACATAGCTCAGGGCCGAAGTCAGTGGTGCAGATGTATATAAACATTATGCTCATCTTAACGACGCTATACTGAATTTCACCATTTTCTCATTCTTCCTTTCTTTTTTTTAGTACTTTATATTTCTTTTGACTGAATTTTCTTCGTTTCATATTTCACCTCACTGCCTTTCTACATGAGGTACTGATATGAGGTGTGGCAACTCGGACCGTTACACAGTAGTGCCTGGTCCTATGTTAATTTGGATGGATGGGTGGAACATATTCTATGTACAGAAAAGAGATCTAAAGAAGTGTAAGAATACTGTAAGGTTTGTTACGTATGTTTAAAAAGTCTAATATTCGAGTTCGTCAATTACTAGTTCCATCACCAGATATTTTCAGAAAGATGAGTTAGCTTTTTGATCTGAAGAATGAAAAAAGATGTCGAACAATTATATATACTAGAAACATGCTTTAATTTTCCCGAAATCCCAAATATGAAAGTTTAAAAAACTTCTAAAAGATTCCTTTCCAGCTACCCTTTTGAGATGAATGGTAATTTGAAGCATAGTTCAGTTAGGTAGGATTTCTTGTTTTTCCGGGTGGAACTAAGGTTTTTGATCTCGTCTGCAGAGTCAGGGGACAAACATAAGCCTTACATTACAGCTGTGGATCATCAAATAAAACACTTGGTTTTCGGCAAATGGGTTTCAGATTTCAATCCTACTCCAGCTCTCACAAACCTACAACACAGATGATCTTTACTCGGTTGTTGAGTTTGAATATTATTACAGTATATGAAACGAAAGTTCAGACAATGTAAGTAACTTACTTTAGCTATTGAGATAGTTTGCTGTTCCATGGCTTCATGAATCGCAACACGATCATCTTCACGCATCTTATCAAATTCATCGATACAAACAACACCACCATCGGCAAGTACCATAGCTCCACCTTCCATTATGAAGTTACGCTGAAAGTGGGAAGAGAAATTCATGACTAACAGGTAAGCATAAACCTCATCATTATACTGGAGAAAAGAAATCAAGATTTCCACACTAATTCATATTTTGTTCTGATGTTTATGCTACATCAATAAACTAGTGCCACTAAGAATGTAAATCGCTCGGGGCTTTTAGGGGGTGATTTTCAGATGTTCATCGAAAAAAGATCTTGACAGCAGTGAGAAAAAGTAGTACATAAAAAGCAGACATTTGTTAAATTTTTTATTTCACAATACTTAGTTGGTGAAATCAGTACACTGCAGTTAGAGTTCTCATTCTCTTTATTTTGGTGTTAGATGTAAGGAGTCAATAGGCAGGAAGCGGGGGGCACAAAGAACTACTACTAGACAGCTATGTCGGTTACCCACCAGTGACCAGTTCATGTACCTGATTCAGTCCAACAGCTGGGGATCAGTAATGACCTGAATAGGTTCATGGTAGTCACTGACTTCAGCATTGAGTATTGTAGGTTCGAAACCTCTGTCTGAACCCCATTTTTTTCAAAGTTTCGGATACACCTTCTTGATAAGTCCTAACAGGTACGTTGTCTGGGATCAAGGCTGTTTATCGATTGACTCCCACCATTTAACACCAAAATACAGTGTACCACGGTATCACGGCCCGACTGCAAACTCGATCGATAGACTTCGGTAAGAGCTAAGCCAAAAGGGACCCGACAGTTACATCGGTTGCTCATTGGTAAATAATTCTTCTTTTATTTTTAGCACATGAGTCTCAGCAAAAATAGCCAGCACCTGAAGTATGAGTAAGGGTAATATGCTCGTGAGAAGACTTGTGATCGACTAACAAACACTTGGTGACGGCGCAACTGAAATGCGATAAACCCGATATCAAGATATTTTGAGAGCATTAACATAAGAAACCAACAATTTATGAAGAAAACTAAGCAAAGAGTGCATTGCATCAATCACAGTTGAAATCGCGAGTTACTTTGTCTTCGGAAGACAAACAAGGCTTTAAACTGGATAGTATACAATAAGACACGATTTGTAATCTGAATTTACATTGCATCACATTGGTAATGCAATGAGGAAAAAAAGTATTTACCACAAATCGGTTGTATTTTATAAAATAAAAATGTTGACTTACAGTATTGGGATCCCGAGTAACTGAAGCCGTCAAACCAGCTGCTGAACTACCTTTACCGGATGTATATATGCCAACAGGTGAACATCGTTCCACAAACTTTAGAAGCTGAGATTTTGCCGTTCCAGGATCACCTAGCATCAGCATGTTTATATCACCACGACGCATAAGTCCATCTGGAAGGCTAGAATAAAGGTAAAATTTACAAAGGTTATAAAATGTATTTGATTCCCAGAATAAGAAATAATTTAAGGACATAAATGTAGTTAATAGATAAGTTCTTGTATGTCTCATTGATTTTCAGCTGACATACAACTAAGCAGCAGAACAATTCTGCTTGATACCGACAGGATTGCTTTGAGTAGACATAACAAAACTATCCGTCCCACTCAGGATGCTTTATAAACGCAGCTTTACTTAGGTAAAGAAAATGGTAAAAATCTTTCACGATAGTGAACTATTATTTTTTTCCATTTTATGCGGAGCTATATTTGAACATTCGGTAGTCATCTAAAAAACTTAATTCAAGATATACACTTAAACATGTAAATGATGAATTTTAGCTAAATTTTGAAGCTTACTGCTCATTATAGATTGTTACCGTTAAAAAAAACTTTTGTCTGTAGACGAGTAACCAGTTGCATTTTGTGTGCGAAAGTCACAATGACCAGAAATAACAGCTAAAACACCGAAAATGAGGCAAAAACACAAAAGTACATGTCTGGTGGAGTGAACCTACTTACATTAGTCAAATCGACCAAACATTTTGATGGATGGAAAGCGTACATTTTAATTTACTACTAATGTAACTACTTATGCTATCACATTATCGCTTTGCAATGAATAAATAGTAGGAATGATTTAAAAATTTTTATCCACATTGATAAGTGAGCACACAAACAAGTGCATACGAGTATCTCAGTAGAATAAAGCTGCGTATTTAAGAAAATAGCAAAAGTAGATGCCAACAAGATTAGAATACAATAAAAACAGGTCACATACCGCTTACGTGACCCTCCAAACAAAAGACATGCGATAGCCTTTTTTATATCACCACTACCATAGATAGATGGGGCTATACTTCGAGCCAGTCTTTCATAAATGTCTGGTGAGTTAGCCAATGAAATCAATTCCTCTTCTTGATTTTCCGTTAAACTTGCAGCTGCCCTGACCCCTCCACATTACCAGATACTAATGCACTGCGTCCAGGACCTTCTGTATCAATAGTCAGCCCCAAGACACGTATATATGGTTGACGCACACCGGCATTTGAACGCTCGTTCGCACCTGGCCGCTGCTCAAAATCATGAGGAATGAAGCAAAATGTCATCACATACAATTAAAAATCATATAAGCAGCATTATCACTTTTACATGTCTTAAGCTAAACGTTATTTAAAACTGCAAAATCATATACTCTTACAACACTGCTGATATAACAGAAACTTGGCAGTGCATGCTTATACTAGTTTCGACCGGAAGTTTAAGCGGTAGGAATGTGCCTTATAGGTTTATACAATCAATTTTAAACCAGTAGGCAGCATGGTGAGAATCCCACCAGGTAACATTATCACCTCCGACACAATTAATGTGGCTCGTTGCACAGTAAACGAACTTGTATTTTATTTTTCACTGTAAATTTGAGCCTTACGTACACTAATGCAGAACTCATCATATACTGCCTAGTTTAAAACAGCGTCGACATCTTGAATTTTTCAGTCCATAACATGCAGAAAAGTCAGTAAGAGAAGAAAAGATAAAGCTGCACCATGATTGTCACTGGTAGACTGTCAGGCTGCAGTTCTCAAGAAAACAGGAATCAATGGATAGTGTTGATAATGTTGCTCGAAATCGAACGTAATGACGCAGATGTTACACCCTTTGTCCTCTTCAAAGTTATAAAAACTTACACTGACTTTCATCCATACATTCTCCGTGCTCTCACACTTTTTTCCAATAGAATAATGACGTTTTCATGCACTCTAATTTCATTCGTTTTCTACCCACTTCTTTAGATGGTGCTGTGGTGATGGTCCCAACCGATGGATGCTGCCTTGATATGGTGATCTGACTTGAATATCACAATGACCGAACGGGTTATGCTGGTTGGAACGCTTTTTCCTTAGAGGTCCTTTCATACCAGAAAGGTCTGTTAGGTAGTGGTAGGAAAAAAAGTAGTAGTACTGGCTGGATGGATGTTTGACAGCAACTGAGTGTTTCTTGAAGATAGCCAGCGACGCCAAAATGATGCTACCTTCCGTATGAGGAGGGGTTAGGAAGGGCTGGGTCTAAAAGTAACACTCCGCCCTACCATGCGGTGTACAGCTACCTGCAATTCGGGTTCAGAGTTCAGCTTGCACAAAACATACTAAACTACCAAACTTCAAAAAAGGTCGTGTGTAACCAGCCTCAAGCAGATATTCCTTGGGCTCTGAGGTCACGCTCTAATCTTTCTTTTTCAGGTACCTCAATAATGAGCAGTCCATGGTGTAGGCAGCCGGAAAGTGTCAACCATCCTCAAAACTCTCGGCATTCAAGTCCTCAAAGATCACCATCCACCTTCCATATCCTTACCTTGTAATCTTCCCTCACGTCTCTCGGTCACCATCCCTACTTCATCTTTAATTTCTTCTAGACCTGCAGCTTTTAAAAATTATCTTAGTTTTCGAAATAGCATCCCTGCCCTCCTGAAAACGCGCTCCAAACTATACATTGTAGCTTCTCCTGTCCGCACCCCCCGCCAAACTGGCCAACAAGCTTCCCTAGGCAAAACTCGAGCCATGGATTTTTACTGTTTGTGAAACACGTATACAAAACCCAAGCGCAGTTATTCACTTAGCCCCACCCGGTCACTATAGTAAATTCTCGAAATTCGCACTTCTAGTTTCTGGAAATACAATGACCGGCTCTCACGGTCTTGCAAGGCTGGAAGTGGACTCCTCGACTGTATCCCACTTGACAGTTGTCTACGCGCTGTTCTACTGAATAGTGAGGACTAAAAAGAGTAGTGGAACTCACCACTGCATTTTTGTAATATTCGCTTATGCACCCACTGACTGGAGTTCGGATGAGTTCTACCGAAAATTTCCTGGCCTCCTGCTGAAAGTCGAGCGCTCAGATGTGGTAGTTGTTGCGGGTGATTTCAATGCACAATTGGGTAGGTTAAGTCAAGTGGAAAGGCACTTGCGTAGCACTTTCAGAATCCCAGCTGAAAGAACAGATAATGGCGATCACCTGCTACAATTGTGTTCAGAAAACCACCGATTTCTAGCCAGCATAAACTTCAGATATAGAGACGCTGTTTAAAGTGGCATACACTGACCTCAACTTAGAGAACGGCACAGATAGACCACATTGCTATCAGTCATCACTGGAGAATATTGGAGGAAGATTGCCATTCCTTCTGGAGTACGTATTTGAACAGCGATCACGCACTGGTATGAGCACGCGTATGGACGAATGAAAACTACACCAAGAAGACCATTGCGAGCGGAGCTAGATGATGAGAATACTATGACTGATATCAGCAAGAAACTGATTAGACATATATCGGAATAGAACAGTATCATTCATCCGGAAGAAACCCCGCTCCATCTCCAGTTTGCTGTAAAAACAACATTAAAGACCGTAAATTACTCTCGCAAAGTGGTTAGAAAGGAGAAGTGGATCTCAGCAACTTTTTCTGAATCAATGAGTGCGCATGAACGCATCCTTGCAAGCTCCAAGGACAATCAGGAGTAGAAGTAACTAAAATTTAGACTGATAAAAAGTTTATAAAATGAGTACAGGGAGTTTTGGGTAGCGAAGGCTAGTGATACATATAAGGCGGTGGCGATAAGTGACAGTATACAGCTATTTAGATTTGTCAAGAAAACTGGTGCAACAAGGTCAATGGTTAGTGAAACTATAGAGAAGGTCCATGATCCGATCATGAAGAGACGGTTAAAACGATGAAGCAAAAACTTTAGCTAACGTCCAGCTACTATTCCGTTGTTCGCTATCCAGTCGGATCCTCAGTGGAACACTGAGAAAGGGTCTCTCGCTAAAATTAAGAAAGCTCTAAGTAACCCGAAAATAGGAAAGGTAGCACGGTTAGACAAACTGGTACTAAAGGTATTAAGGGACAGTAGTAGAGAATTACCAGTCAGCTTAACTGAAATACTGGCTAGTGTACGGGAGTCAGAAATCATCTACTCTACCTAGGCTCAATCACTGATTTCTCGTCTTCAAGAAAGGCAAGAAGTTCTCCTGTGATAGACAGAGAGGGGCCACCCTGACGAACAGGGTGCCCAAGATTCTAAGTTCTATAATCACTAGACGTCTGAGTAGAGCTTAGGAACAGAAAATGCGAGAAAATCAGGTAGGCTTCAGACTTGGCCATGAGAGTATCGACCAGATGTTTACCCTCCAACAGTCACATATTGACACCTGACACTGGTTATATTCCTCGATATGAAGGTAGCATTTTACTTCGTCAGTCAACAGGCCTCATGGTGGCATTTATCACTGAAAAATGTACTGAGTACACCACTATTTTGAAGACTATGTACTCGAAAACTCGTGAGCACATTAGATCCTACGGAGAGTTGTTTACTTTGAGTCGTATTCGCAAACGATGTCCACCCCGTCCATTCTTATTGAATTTCATCATGGACGTAATTCTAGAGGTTCCTCTCTCCTCGTCGTCTGACGTCACAGGGAATGACCTTTTCACACGAGAATCCTCAGGAGATCTAGAGTAGGCAGATGATAGTCCTGTAAGGTGAAGATGTAGTCTTCTGGACACTACGTAGAAATTAAATGTCTATGATGCGTTTCTCACCAGCCAAATTCAAATCATTGCTCTAGAACCAGTCTTCACTGGTACCTCGTCTAACAACAGGGAGTGAAATTGTTGAGCTTGTTGCTCAGTTCGCTTCAGAAGTCGTATCAGTCAAAATGGATCAGTGACTGACAAAATTTCCCAACGGACACAAACGGCTCGGTTGCTTTTTCACCAACTCACGCTGTTCATGGTATCCGACAGTCCATTAGGAGTTGAGTTTATGACGCTATAGTTTTCTCTCTTTTACTGTGGGTCTGTGAAATGTGACCACTAAGGGTATAGAGCATGAGGTAGCTTTGGGTGTTCAACCACCGCTGTATTCGTAGCAAAGGCCGTGTCATGGTTACCATGTCAGGCAAAGTAGAAGTCAACCACAGAGTTTTGGGCAGAAGAAAAAAGTCAGTCAATGAGGTTGTGAACACTCATCAACTGAGGCGGCTCCTGGGGACATGCACTACGCATGCCTAATTACCATCTAACAAGCTGCACAATGTTGGCTGAAGTAGGTTCAATCTGGAGAACGACTACAAACGGTTGGACTAAAAAATGGCATCAGTTCATGAAGTCTTTGACTGTTAGTTTGAGTCATTGGGGTGTATATATGAAATAGGTAAACATCATAGAAGTTTTTGCTGACACAAAACAATAAGAATAATTTTAGTATCGTTTAGCTAGTCAGGATTTGTAGATTTCTTAAGCACTATCTTATAAGGTAAAATCAATACCAAATAGCTACAAGAACTTATAAGTTATGTTCCAATATGTTTGAAATAAACAATTCCAACGTTTCGCAAGCATGTCTGGTCCAAACTTCTTCCCTGAAGAAGCCCGACATTTGTGAGGTTACTCGGTCAAATCTTGACCAGGACCCATGTAGATTATTTTGCGACTTTAATAACAGTTTACTCAATAACTACTCTCTAAACTAGCTACTTTCATAGTTAGTGGTCATATACGCACGTCGAGAAATCCATGTTTGCAGAGTGGCAACTATATATTAGTTGCTTAGGGTTGTATTATTGGGTTACATTACTGTATTTCTTGAAGTCTGAAAAAACTTACCTTGTTAGAGACAGTTACACGAATACAGTACACACCGACGACGGTTACACGATTCCCGGGAACCACTTGTTCACAAAGGTACCTGAGTATAATAGATTAGACTCATGTTAGGCAACATAAACACAGAAGTATATAGGTAAGCAAAATCTTAGAGTGACGTACACAATTATCAATTTCGCGGCTGGATAAGTTAGTTCGGTGCATGCATCCATTCAGAGATAACTGTACGAACTCAACTCATAGCCTTCTAATGGTACTCTAATGAACACGTTCCTCTTCGGCACGGTTGTTGCGATCGATTTCTCGTTTTTAGATTTAAATTATTTATCAATGTAATTTGTGATACCCGCTACCTAACAAAGCCTTTCTTATGTTTCCAATTCATTTTTAATGACTTTCTTGTAACATAATCTGGTACCCCTTAAAAAACAATCTTGACAAGACCTCTCTACAGGGTATTAGGAAAAACTATTAAATGGCAAGTAATGACCGGCCCAAGTAGGCTTATGATAAACTGTCTGTAGTATCAAACCATCTTCACTTATTTTACTACTAAAATCCTAAAATGAATACCTTCATCGCACTAATATAAGCAGCTGTGGAATTAATAGTTGTCCATAGCACGAACATGCTTAGATGAACTACAAGCCAACGTGCCTGATATCATCATGCTTTCTCCAATTGTATCTGTTTTTCTACCACTACTTGGAGTAGCATATTCATCGGAAGGAGAGGACCTTTACAAAAATAGTTTGTGGACATGTAGAGCAGTTTCAGTGGTTTAGGAAGATGGCTATCAAACATCGGGTCACAGTTCAAACCCCGCTCCACCTACCGAGGTTAGGGCAGCCAGGTAGTATCATTAGCCCTCACGTAATAGGTGTAGTTTACTGTCTACTACACGGTTGTGCACAAGGTGGCTAAGTGCATTTCGTTTTCCGTTATGAGCATGTACCGAAAAGCTTGCTATTGGAGCGGTGCAAGGTCACTTGGCAGTACCATTGGTGAACATATCCTCGAAACAGGTCAAGCCGTCAACTTAAAGTAATCAATGTACGAAGCAATATTAGGTTGTTGCGTTATGCAGGAGCAACAATAATCCATTGACTGAAAGCAAACTTATTTGTATAAAAGGAGTTTGTGGTTCATTCTGCATTGTCTTGGTGAACTGTTCTTTCCTTACAAATTTATTTAGCTATTTTATTTTCATATCTTAAGACATTATTCATATTCCTATCATTTTCAATCTACTTCAGTTTATTGTTTTTAATCATTATCCACTGTTCTAAATTAATCCATTCACTTTGCACACCATCTTTGTTGTTCTCCCCCACTTATCGAAATTCTTATCACCTTGAGCTCCGATCACATTCTTGCACTACTACTGTGTCGTATTATTTCGTGCTTATTGATTGTTTGTTGTGTTAATTTACTTATTACCTGTATTGGTTGATTAGGTCGTGAACTTTTTCATTCATCTCTCTTCTCATATACGTGTATTGACGTCTAGATGTGACATATATTCGGTGTTGATCTTACTACCGAAATGTACAAATGACTTACATTAGACACTGACAGATTACTGCACATAGTTTTAAATTTAGTGTGTGTGGGAGATTTAGAGCACATGAAATGAATTCCGTTCATCCCATAATGTGTATTTGGCCCTTTCTCGCTAACCGCTTTGTAAACAAGACGTTGGATTCACTTTAATGAGAGTCTGATTTAACTTCGAAATAATAATCAAGCAAAATGTAGCCTTTAAATTAGCACCCATTTAAAGTGGTATCTGCACATCTTGCAACCAGCAAAAATACGGAAAAAAGGAATGCCGAATGTCAGCGAGAAAATAAAGCCAATTTCATTATGACGGTTAACATGGACTTCATAAATAAGGTTTATAAAAACAACTACTAGTTACTATGAGTATATATTTGACATCGGTATGCTTATTCTCATTTTATACTTCCAAAACAAAGATTCAAGCTGAAGGCTTAAAATAGTCACTTGTTTTGGTCAAGGTATTTTGGTGATAACAGGAAAGAGAAGTACAGAAGTGGAAAAGTCCACTTTCGGCAACCTTGTACACACTCGTGCAGTAAGGAATAAGCCACCACTATTGTATGAGGGCTGATGATACTACCTGGCTGCCCAAACCTCGGTAGGTGGAGCTAGGTTCGAACCCGTGGCCATCGGTTGGAAGTCAAGTGCTTATACTACAGAATCGCAACTAACACAATCCAAACATACAAACTACGAGGTGAGTAAATAAGAGTTAAAATAAAACAATACATATAAACATCGCAGAAATATGATAACAGAAGAATAAAAGTAGGTCATCAGACAGGAAACCACCGAAAGGCTAGGTTAAACCAAAACATGAGAAAACCACGTCCCTATATGAGTACATGTATTCGACAACTACTGAAGCGAACTACGGACTTTCTTAAAACCGTGACTAGGGTCAGGAGTTTTCATCATGTACATATAAATGGTGACCGTATGCAATTATATAGTAGAATGACTTTAGCTTTTGAGGTTGTGATGAACAGCTAAATTTTTTTTATCCCAAACAAGCTAATTGCTTGAGATTTCAAGCATATTGTCGTTAGGTTTTTGTTGTTAAAACAAGCACAACAGTTGGGACCAAACCAGCTCCCTCAATAACCATTTGGAGAAAGTCGAAAGCTGAGGGCGAGTAATGATCAACACTAGATGATGTCACTTTAAAGAGCTGCGTCTAAATCACAAATGAGTTGCAGGAGAATAACTGCAGTTATCTTTTGATCAAGTGAAGTACGTTCCAAGAATTCCAGCCTCGGATGAAAAAACTTACCAACGACAACTATTTGTTACTGGATCGAAATGACATTTCAAATTGGGCAAGTGCAGCTTTGGATAGCTCTGTTCATAAATAAATGCTAACAATGTTATGGACAGCAACGGTATGCTTCCCAACATTTCAGGTAAAGGAAACGGTGGTAGAACCTCGCCTGGTTAACTAGTTCACTAGTTACTAGCCGGTTCTAAGCCCGGGTAAAGAGGGAAGGTCGGGCATTCGGCTAGCAACCCTACACCGTAAAACAAATCTAACCGCTAAACAAACTTCAAATCACAAACAAAATATAAAAAATAAAAACAAAATTATTCCTTGCTGGGATCGACGAGACGAAATGACGCCAGTTGGTGAAAGCCTGCCTTCGGGAAGCCAATTGGCCGGGCCGATGTGTCTTCTCTCCCTAGATGAAAGCAAAAGTAAACGTGGGGACATGGAATGTCCGCACCATGTTTGAACCCAGCAAGGCAGCCCACATTGCAAACGAGATGAAGAGGTATCACATTGAAGTGCTTGGAATTTGCGAAAGCAGATGGAATGGGAGTGGAATCTCCAAACTGTCAACTGGAGAATCAATAATCTACTCCAATATTGTCACCCAGACGCCAACCATGAGCACACTGAGGGAGTGGCTATCATGATGTCCTCAAGAGCATCGAAGGCTCTCATGCAGTGGGAACCAATCTCCTCCAGGATCATGACAGCAAGGTTCAACTCAAAAAGAAGGAAGGTCACAATCGTTCAATGCTACGCACCTACAAATAATGCAAATGAAGAGAAGAAGGAGGAATTCTACAGACAATCAAAACTGGACAAGACCTCAGTTGGCGATATTAAAATCCTAATGGGTGGGGCGACATGAATGCCAAACTAGGAGCAGACAACACAGGAAGAGAACTAACCATGGGTCGAGAGGCGCTAGGTGAAATGAATGAGAATGGAGAATTGTTTGCAGAATTCTGCGCATTCAACCATCTGGTGATTAAAGGCACTGTGTTCAAGCACAAGGATATCCACAAAGCGACATGGACACACTGAAAATCAAATCGACTTTATCTCTATCTCAAGAAAATGGAGACGCAGTCTAATTGACACAAGGTCAAGAAGAGGAGCAGATGTAGGTTTAGACCACTATCTAGTACAAGGAACCTTCCAAATCAAGTTAAGAGCCTTCAAGGAAGCTGGTGATAGACCTCAGCTCAAGTACAACACTCAGAAACTGAAGGATGAAACTACAAAGGAAATCTTCACGGCAGCCATTCATCAAGACAAAATGGGAGATATCGAGCAACATCCTTGAAGAAACCTGTGTGGAAGAACACTGGAAGTCTTTGGAAGAAATGTGGAAAGGAACCTGCACAGCCGTATTAGGAAGGAAGAAGAAAGAAGATAAGGAGTGGATGTCAATGGATACATGGAAGCTGATAGAGCAGGGAGATGAGGATGGTGAAGCAGAAGATGAACTAGTGCAAGGATGCTCAACGACAAGAGGAACTGGGTACAATCTATAAAACACTTGACAAAGAAGTGAAGAAGAGTGCACAGAAAGACACTTCTACGAAACACTGGCAAGTGAAGCAGAACAGGCTGCAGGTAGGAGAGATAGAGACCTGACAACATTGTATCAAATAACCAGGTTACTATCTGGAAGGGAAGAGATAAACGCAGATGAAGCCAATAAAAGATGATGACGGAAATTTAATTACGAAAGAAGAGAAACAAAGAAAACAATGGGCTGACCACTTCAAGAAGCTCTTGAATCGACCACCACCTGCACTTCGTCCAGAAATACCACCAGCAACCCAGTCGCTGAACTACAAGTGAACATAAATCCTCCAACAAAAATGGAAGTCCTGAACGCCATAAAGCTACTGAAATGTGGGAAAGCAGCAGGACCAGATGGGATCCCGCCAGAAGCACTGAGAACAGACGCAGAGACAACAGTGGACATGCTCACACCACACCACTATTGCAGAAGGTGTGGAAGGAAGAGAAGGTACCTGGCGATTGGAAGAAGGGTTACCTTGTCAAACTCCCGAAGAAGGGAGACCTCAGTGTTTGCAAGAACTGGAGCGGAATCACTCTCCTGTCCACCCAGAGCAAGCAAAATATTAAGCCACATCATCCTGGAGAGGCTTAAAGATGCACTGGATTCAAAACTACGACCCGAACAGGCAGGCTTCAGGAAGTACAAATCATGTGCAGACCAAATTGCAACGCTTCGTATCATCATAGAACAGAGCATAAAATGGCAGTCCAGTCAACTCTACACCTCAACTTCATCGACTTTGAGAAGGCCTTTGACAGCGTCAACCGAGAAGTAATTTGGAAACTGCTTCATTACTACGGAGTACCGCAAACCTTTATCAGCCTCATTCAACAACAGCTATATGAAGACGCCACATACCAGCCAAGTAATTCACAATGGGAAGCTCAGTGATGCTTTTGAAGTGAAGACAGGAGTGAAACAAGGTTGCCTAATATCCCCCATGATATTCCTGATTGTGGTGGACTGGACTGGATCATGCAACAAACAGTGGGGAGCGAGAAGAGGGGGATACGCTGGCTGGACAGATGAAAAGAACCTAGAACACTTGGATTTCGCCGATGACTTGTGCCTGATGGCACATAAACTTGAAGATCTACAGGCGAAAACTAACAAGTTGACAGAAGAGGCAGCGAAGACGGGACTTCAAGTGAATATAGAGAAGACAGAGGTGATGAAGATACCGCACCACCACCATCAACAACAACAACAAACTCCAATCACCATCAATGGGAGAAATTTAAAGGAAGTAACCTCCTTCACCTATCTAGGAAGCACTGTTTCAACTACAGGCGGCGATGGCACAGACGAGGATGTCAAAGCAGCCAGGATTGGAAAGACAGCAAGACAGGTGTTCACTAGCCTGTATGGTTCAGAGACTTGGCGCGTCACGAAAGGGATTTCCAATAAACTACAGACATTCATCAACAACTGCTTACGCTCGCTACTGAAGATCAGATGGATTGCCAGAAAGAATAAGCAACAAGGAGCTCTGGGAACGAACCAACCAAGAACCTATCACGCAACAAATATGCAGAAGGAAATGGAGATGGATTGGGCATGCACTGAGAAGGCCGACTGGGGACATCACGCGTCAGGCCCTCGAGTGGAATCCCCATGGGAAGCGATGAGTTGGACGTCCGAGGGTGACATGGAGAATCGTGCGAGGAGGAGATGAGAGCTTCTGGGCTGTCGTGGAACCATGTTCAAAAGATCTCAGAGAACTGAGGTCACTGGAGACGTGCTACTGAAGCCCTATGTTCCATTAGGAACCCAAGGGACTAATAATATAATAATAAACGGTGGTAGCGAGGACAACCAGCGCCATCCAAACTACAACGTTCAGCAGATTTTAGTATGTGAGAAAGTGACTATACAACTCAGTAACTACTTGCACATTTGTGTACTAGACGAGTTAAATATTGTGACGATTGTGATGATACCTGTTTGCCCAATTTCGGTTGGTCAAAGGGTTTGAATCTTCAGTCTATGGACTGACAATAAATCCGCTATTATGCCGAACCATATCTTCACTACAAAAGGTTAGTGGTAGAGTAGTATGGGAACAATTTATCTCTTCCATACTTAGGCTGTTCAGAGCCTATGCACCAGATTCATTGCCTAGCGAAAACTGGACACATCAGTTTGAACAGGGGTTTTTATGAACAAGGACAACGCATGCTTAATTGTCATATCTTAGTTAGAGCAACCCTTTCCTTTTTAACGTCAAGTTGTTGGAAAAACCAGACTCAACCCTCATAGTTAGTAGACAAAAGCCCGAATTCAATGCAGAATCGTTGGCTACGTTACATGCGGAATTCCCCTGCGGTGTCAATTTCCAGTGACAAGGAGAGTGGGCTGAAAAACACTTAGGTTAACTTTCGTAATTCATAGTAGTATGAAGACCTAACCTTGTTTTGAAAGCACTGCACGAAGTAGTAGATGGCATCACGAAGTCTAGAACGCAAACAGACTTCACGAAGTAATTTAGCGAGTCCACTCTAAGTTTACACGTGAAAAAATATGCTAAAAAGACTTCAGGTCTAACACACTGCTTTGCACCGATAGCCACACTTTTAGGCTTGGAGATGAGTAAGAAAGCAAACTCATCACAATGGATGTTTTAGCGGTCTTTGTGGAGATCATGCCACTCACTCGCGAAGTAGATATACAAACTTAATTAAGTATAAGGTGACATGGTACAACTGCATGAGAAACGGGTATTAGTGACTGCAAAGTGACACTACGTAAGTACCCTCATCAAATAAATACTTAAACAGAAGTCGTGGAAACGACTAGGAACCAAGTTACCGGTCACAGTAGAGCAGAACATGTCGGGGCATTTCTCCATGAGGAACGGTTTCAGGGGTTTCTTGGAGTTTGACTGTCTGATAGTCGACGCATTGGCATTTGTCAGGAACTACAAAGAAAGGATCAATCGGACATCTAGCACCATGAGGTCCACCAGTTTGAGTGCTTGGACACTTGCGAGGTAATGAGAAGCCTTCCAATCCTGGTTTGACAGGTAGATTTGGCAAGAATTGGCGGCAACCTCGGCATTGCAAGCTAAGGCGAACGGCCTGAAGAGTAATGGTTCGCGGAAAAAATTTCTTACTTTTGCTCGAATACTCGACGAGCTTATGGCAATACCTGATATCTTGACTAATCTAGAAACCTCTTCCGAATGTACATCCCTGAGACTGACAGCATTCGTATCCCATTCGAACAACACCTGTGCAGGTTCAACATGAGCTTCTTGATCACTCGAACGAACGAGTTCAGCTGCTACCTCTGTTACAGCTTCTTCGAACTAAAATAGTAAATATTGAACGAAAAAGGCGGGCATACGGCCGGTAAGTAATCACTAGGGCGATGAGTTAACTCTTGCGTAAGCGAAGAGTCATAGTTGTTGAGATCCCTCAGCTTAACCTTGATGTAGAACTTCTTCAAACTATAGTTTTTCTTAATTTGGTCCCTAAAACTATGAGGGTAAGGATGCATGATACCTATATTTGAAAGCGAAACCACCATCGTTGAACTGACGAATAAAATCTTTGAACTTTCGCTTAGCAAACTGGACATTTGCCAAGTTATCCTGATCTCTCGTCTGTTGAAACAGAGAGTCAGAGAAATAAACCGCTCCCTGGTCAAAACCCGACATCTTTGCAGAAAGATTAGAAAGTGGCGGTGATCCTTTCCAACCTACATACCGGTGGGCTTAAACAAACAGCAGTGGTTTTGATGCTGAGTAAAAAGACTACATGACAACCAGAAATATTTCAGCCCTAGATCAGTTAATATACTTCTGTCTGTCATCAAGCTCAACTGACTTGCCATAAGAGAGAAAATGTATTAACTTTACGTCTCTCTGGTTAGTTCGACATTGCTTTCAGAAATCAAAAGGTGCGACTTTCTAGTCGTGCTAACCAGTCTCTCTTGTTTGCATAGACGTATTTGTGGCGAATTTGGCGTTTGGATAGCAGAACTGAAATATCCTTTAGATCAAAGCGTGCACTATCCCATTCGAAGAGTCACATGACGTTTTCAACTAACATGTTTACCATTTAATGTTACAGCATATAAGTAGTTTGTAGAAGGTGTGGCTGCAGTATTAACGCCGAAGAAAAAGACGAAGCAGGTCCTGTAAGCGTGTTACTGTGAAAACAGGATGTTCGACTCTTTCGACGTCGCAGGTCGAAAGCGGAACTGCACCGACTATTTTCAGTGTAGACAACATTTGCCTAGATTTCCCGCTAGCTAAGGAGGATCAGTTGAATATTTTAGGTGTATCTGCTTCAAACCGCAGATCCCCTGAAACACTTGTGAGTTGCGGTAGCTTAACTCAACAATCGCGGACAGCAAAGTTGACGGTCGAAGCACAATAAAAGCCAAAGTCGTCCTTGAAAATGTTGATGGACTCAGTGTTAAAACCTGATGTCAGACTAAAGATTACTTTGTTGGGTACCTCACGGAGAGTTTGGTTAGTGTGGTATACATCAAGAGTCATAAGATTCACCTTTGACGCTATACTCCCCACAGAAGTAACACATTAAAAGTTCACAGGCTCTCCCCTGCTTAGACAGAGGGGTATTGGGGGAATAATGTATACGTCTTCTGAGTCATGCTCCCACTACGTTCCGCATGGATTAGTTTAGCGTAATTTCATATTTGCATGCTTTACATCCCTTTTTTATGTGCTCGTGGTCGACACTAGCCACATTTTCAACAATGCAGCATTATCTTTGAGGGTTTCACACGGCCAAACCGGGAATGTGGGTTTTATTTACACACTTACTGACGGTTGCAGACGCCCTATTCAAGCCTCCTTTCACCCTTCTCACGGAAAAATCGCATTATCGATGGAGAAGCGAATCACTACCTACGCTTCGGTTGCTGCGAATGGCTTGTAAATATCACTTCACGAAATACATACTAATACTACCATCCACCCCAAGTGCTTTTTCTAATCTGTAGATGAATTCAGAAGCTAGGCGGGTAGTGTCAGTAGGTTTTATGAGGAACGCTGCCTCGCAAAATACGCTTCGACCACCTAGTAAGTTCCTGAAGACCTACCAAATCCTTGTGTACATACACTCTGGCTGATGAAATGAGGTTTGAGTAGACATTTCCCACCCATTCTCACTGTTTTCTTTACTGAAGCGAAAAATAGAACAGTTTATGCTGATGACGTTAAGTGCCATGAGACCCACCATTTCATTTACTATGACTCGTGGATCTAGGCATTTAACTACGATAGAGCATCTCATGTAAATTGCTCACGCTGCATCCGAGGAAGTGTGGGCAACTACATAGTTTCACTAGCACTCACACAACGTGTGCTTACCGAGCCCACTAGATAGAACATTTGTCAGCGAGCGATTTCGCTGGTTCCCTCCAAAGTAAGCCCGGTTACAAATTTAGAGGCCAAAGTGAGTGAAATAGCCGGAAATAAGTACGTAAATGGGAGGTCGCTTTGTTTTCTGAGACCCAAAGCACATCGGTTCCCAAGAATGAGGCATCGGACCATTAAAACCCAACTCATGTTGTCGTTCCAAACTATTAATAAGGTGTGCTCACATAACGCAACGATTTCCAACACCACCAAGTGCTGCCCTCTGAACAGTTAGGAACAAAACTACATCCTAGTATGGAAAAGACATGGATTTAAGTTAATCATGAACTAGGGGACATGATAAGGGTTAGGGTAGGGTCTGTGAGACAAGGAGTGTCATCTGAAGCTTCCTGCGCGTTCCATTCTGAGACATACTTGTGAGCTACAGTGTGCATGCACACTTAACTAAGGGTATCTAGATGTTGCATTGATAAAGTTGACACGTTTTTCTGGTTGTTTATCCTTGCTCCATTCACCTACCGCCCGTTCGCTGTTTGACGTTTGGAGGCTCCATGTATCCTGAGCGCCACAACAGTCAACAGCCAGCCTATGAAAAGTCTGTTATCTGATACTTTGTGAAGAACGCCACTAGGATGAAATTCCCTAAACTTAATCGGGCATCAAGTGTTTTGCTCCAGCAAACACGTTAAACGTATCCGCTTCTACGAAACCGACGAGTTGCTCACGTGAGGGGAGCAATGAAAGTGGTCTGGACAATGTTGTTGGTGATATAAATAGAGTTGTGTTCAACAAATTCAGTGACTTTCTCTTGCTTAAGACAAGACGGTCCAGTGAATCATGCTTTTTTATATCGTGCCTTGTGTTGTCCCGCTGCCTAAATGCGAACTGCAAACATTTGACAGAGACTGAAAACTACTCTAGTTTTATGAGAGCGAGACAGAAATGGGCCTTAATGACGACGAGCACTAACGAGCCTAAAACACCGACACTGATGTTACTACTATATGCTTCTGTAAGATCTCACCTAAGGAAGAAGGACGTCAGGTGCATATTATGTCGCCTATCTGAAAGCCTTTTTATGGTTTCTAAGGGGACATCTGAGATTTTAAAGTGTCATTTGCAGCTAATAGGGAGTGGCCTCAGAGAATTCACATCTTCTTAGGACAATCACAACTTGCGAAAGTTACTGCTGTTTCCCTGAACTTTGCAAACGAATCTTTCTTTAGCTTTGTTGCTGAGGTGTTTTCTCGATTGCTGATTGTTAGGATGCAAAGGAAAAGGGTTAAAATAGATGTTGGTATCCGGGATGAATAGGTGCAACCTAGATCTACTTATATTTCAAAGCCTGTAGGGGAAAACGTGAACCAAGTCGTGAGCAGGTTTACAGGTATCCAAAATTGAGCTTTGGAAACGGATAGGGTGAGCAGTAAAGCTTACCCTTCTTGTGTAACCTTCTAAGAGTGTCGTACGCGAAATCGAGTGTTTACTTCGTGACGCTGTCACCAACTTCAGGCATATACAGAAGTTTTTAGAGTGCCCCACCCAAAATTGTCTGCATTTTCATAAGGAATACAAATTTGCTTCATGCGTATTTAATAGGGATCACACCGAAAGGAGTCTGGAGTCACAGAATAACAGTCCTGCAGTTACTGCTCCTGCTAACTAATATAGGACCAACGACGATCAACAAGGCCAATACCATCAAATGATTGGGTCTTAGAAGTGCATTATCGCGTATTAATGAGTTACGCTTGAGCAAGGCTAACTTAGCTGATATATTAATAGTGTCATATCAACAGAAAATCAAAGTATTTGCTGTTTTCAATGCCCTAAATCCCAGTTGGCAGCGGACAAAGAGGCGTTTTGCAAGGTAATGTCCCAACTTAAGGCACAGATAGTACAGTATAATATGATAATATTTATTCCGGAGCATATATGCACACAGTTTTTGCAGGTATAAGTTACTTTGTAAAGTACATGTGTATTTATGGCAGATAATCTCAATCTCCACTTATTCTGTCACTAGAGGATATACATGCTACGTGTTTGGATGAATTATTTAGCTACTTGGTATGAAAACATCATCGCCACCAGGTATGCTGCTGCGAACATTGTTTACGAAGCTTATTACATGTACGGTCGGTTCTTAGGCCACCATGTAAAGCCGCCGATTGGATTAGACGTGCCAGTGCTGGATCTATGGAGCGTCGTATCGACGTATGCTTAAGGCAAAATGTATCAAACCATGGGCACCAAAGATTTTGAACTGCTTAAGTTAAAATCTCAGGAGTGGTACGTAAAGAAATCTCGATGGATATCCCAGAAAAACCAGTTTGCCTCGTGACTCCAAAAGCCTGAGTGAGAAGTTTGCTCACCATAAAAGGAAGTTGTACAGGATCCGTAGGTGAAAAATGCCCATGGACATCACTTCCAGTAAGATGTTATGCAAGCTCCCCTATACAGGGTAGACCGTGGAACTAAAATGTAGGGATTTTCGGCACTCTTCTTCTGTGAATCTGGAAATCTATTTCTCGCGAGGTACTTAGGCTTGTATCTCAAAGTTGAATGTTCATACCCCTGATCAAACGACGCGTACTGTGGTACTTTTCAGTCTTAACTTTTGTTCTTGCATTTTGCACTTTTTGTTGGAGATGTCTGACGAGGTATGGAAGAAGAGGTATGGGTGATCATATCCGAAGTTACTTCTTAGAAGTCAATGAGGTATAAGTAAGCATTCCATGTTCCCAAGAAAACAGTTTGGAGAAAGGTCTGAATTTCTAAACCCCTTCGTCACAGGTCAAAAAGTTCTGTGATTAGATTGCTTGGATGGCACAAATTGATCCCCACGTATAGACTTGCGGCTTGTAAAGGAAATCTCTATTTGTACGTAAGTAATACTGCTTTGGTGATATTGAAAATACTGTTGGTCTTATTAAGCTCTAATATAGTGTCCAACTGCCCTTAATCTCATTTACCTCTGACTCATACCTTGCCATGTTCACACAATTCTGAGTAATCTTGACTCCTCAGGCATAACCGGCCCGCACATGTGATATGAGTGTCATGCAAGTATGTTCACGGTCACACACTTGCGCCGACAGCCTCTCACACTGGATGAACAGACTGTTGAGATCTTTCCCAATCGTATAAGCGCCCCCATCCATTAGTTTTCGCCAGTTTTTCACACCACAAAGTGTGAACTACCAGAGGCTTTGTGGAGCTGGGCTATTTATAGGCATTTCAGATGATTGACAGGGTCCCTGAAACCGCTCTATGCCTCTTCTCTCTGAACTAACTAACAGGGAAAG